CGTCGGTTTCCTTTGGCCCTCTCCGTGTTCCCTCTGTTCCCTCTTGCTCCTCCTCTCCGCGGTCTTGGTCTTGCTCCTCCTTTCCTGGGTCTTCTTGCTCTTCCTTTGTTGTTTCTTTCTCTGACTGTAATGCTGACGATTCCGACGAACCATGTCAGAGTGACATGTCACTTGACGCATAAAAAAGATTGTTTCAGGTGCGCTGCGTGCATTCGCATCGTATGTCTCTCACTCTCTTGGCATTGGTTAGCTTGCATGTTTTCAGGCAAGTTTGTTGCATGTGCTCAAGAAGTATGCTCCACCAATCGATAGACCATGATCCGTTGCCAGTTTCGTGATGTTTGGATGGAGGATGCGCCTCGATTCTGCATATTCTCTTTTCTTATGGTACGTAGCAGTGTGCATGTTAGCACACAGAGATGTGACAATCCCGATTCTTGCCGAAACCTGCAGCACGTCCAGTGGCAGCGATGGTTGATACATGGGTTGGGACGCTGTTTTCAAGCACACAATTACCATGGACTGTCCAATGACTCTGCTACTTTCAACTTTACACATCTTCTTCCACGATGCAGTGAGTCCTTCCTGTGCCTGTCAGTGCAGTGTCGCGCTGTGACACTGCGACATATCAAGTTTCTGATGCGATTACGAGTTTGCCATGGTTCTCGATTGAAGCCCTCTTGTACATACCAGCTTATGTGTATCGAGACATGTTGGTGCCAACTTCACCAAGTTACGTTCTCAGCATGCGAATTTCCTGCTGCGCATGTTCGAGTTATCTAGGCGGCTTTGAGGTTAAAAAAGTGTCCGCCACTGTTCTGTCCATTTGTGTGCCTCAGTTTGCCAAAAAACGTGAGTCTTGGCAGACGTTGGTTCAAGTACTTATGCACCGATGTTCACGTATCAATGTCTGGCTCTTTGCTGAGCTGCAATGACATAATCAGCAGTCTGGATGGAGATCAAGTCACGGCTCTTTTTCAGATCTTGGGAGATCGCCGGCAGAGGGCAGCCCCCCCGGCAGAGGGCGGTCTTTCTTTCTCATCTTCGACGTCGGATTCAGAACGATGCGGATGCCCTTGTTGCACAACATCTTGGTGCTCCCTCCCACTCTGTCTCTGTGCCCTCTGTCCCTTCGTTGTCTTCTTTTCTTGCTCCCTCTCCTTCTCCCTCTCCCCTTCCTCCTCCGCCTCCTCCCCCTCCTGCTTTTCCTCCTCCCCTCCCTGTTTCCTTCTCTGCTTCTGGCCGTTTCCCTTTTTCTCCGTCTCCCTCTCTTCCAGATGCCTCTCTTGGAGCTGTTTCGAGTGACGCTGCACCGATAGTCATGGATGGATCGACTCTTTCGGACCCTCAACAGCGCGGCGCATTGCCCCGTCGACGGCAACAGACTGCTCCTGCTGCTCGGAGAAGCAGATCCATGAGTGAATCGGAGGTTCGCGAGAGATCCCGTTCGAGATCTAGGTCAAGATCAAGCACCACTGTTTCACCTGGAGGTTCTCGTCATATCAGGTAAGCCAGACGTACGAGGAAGACAAAACTGTTGTCCCAAACTTGCTTGCAACTTCTGAGTCGCAGACATGTGTTGTGCTTTCTTGCTTTCTTGCAGCATCATACTTTGAAGTTGCTTACGGCTCAATTTGTCAGATGAAGCGAACAGCAAGTATGGCGGCCCTTCCGGCCCCAGCTCCGATGGTCAGGATTCCAGTTGTTATTCCTCCGGATATATGCTCTGGCGGACGTGAGATGGGTTTTTGGCTTTCTTTGCCTACAGATTCTACGATCGATGACTTGAAGAGGAAGGTGTGCGATGAGCTTGCGAACCGTACGGGGATTCCACCCCGTTTGAACGCCTTCCAATTACGGCAATTTGGTCAACATTTACCATTCTCATCTTCGATTTCGCGAGTTGCTGCCTTTCCGCATACTACGCAGTCAGTTCACTTTGTGAGAACCTGGCCACACGAATCATCGTGGTGAACTTGTGCAGTGTGCTGATCAAAGAAATAAATGCTGTATTGCGGTCCGTTATGCGAGCTCATGAGTTTTTGTTGCTTCTGCAATCTACCAGTTGTCCTTCTTTTACTGCAGGATGTGAGCCCGAATGTTTCGTAGTGCCTCTGAAGGTTGTAGACTTTTCCTCGACGCCATGTGGGAACTTACTGTTCTGACCGAGAAAGTGCTGACTTTTATCAGCACCCGACGCCATATAATTTTCTTCTTCACCTTCCCTGCATTAGATCCACTTGAGACTCTGGATGTTACTCTTCGCAGACATGGATTCCATACGATGTATGATCTTGAACAGTTCGTCACACAATGCAGAACAGAAGGGATGGATCTTCGTGCTGAAGTATGGGAGTTCTTTATGCAAGGACCCAGTGTGTACACGCCGATTACGTGTGAAGCTCCCGCCTTACCTCATATTGTGGTGTATGCGTCCGTGTGCAAAGAATGGTATTACACTATTATCCGATTGGTTGGCGATCGCACATTCTTCAATATTCAGCAGCTTTGGCGTCTTGCCCAAGTGCGCCATGCCAATGTGGAATGGATTCATCACTCCAATCAAGACCGAGTGCGTATTGGGTCGGCTTTCATCGATGATCTTAATGTGCGCCGCATTGTTCACCCACTGTAAAGTGTAGAATCGACCTGGACTTGAGCGGATCACGCCACATGAGTATAAATGGTGTCCTTGGTCATGCGAGTCTTGACATGTGGCCCTAGGATTGCCTTCTCTCGTGCTGATGTGTAGTGCTCAAGATTTTTTGAAGTCTCAGTGCGTAATCATGTCGTCCAGTGGTCGTCGTACTCTTCGTTACGAACCAGGGTCGAGGCGAGCCAGCGATGACAATTTGGAGGATATTGTGCAAACATCAGCTGCCGATGCCCTCGATGCTCTTCGCTCTAACGACATCCACCCACAAGACCTTATTCGGTTGATGCTTCGAGTTGTCGAAATCCTACGTGATTCTTCGGACTTTCAACAAAGGATGTCACGATGCTCCGGATTATGCTCTCATACGAACTGTGGTCGTGTATGTGCTCGTGCAGATGAAGGTCACAATCATTGCCGATGCTATTACCACCAGGTTATTGACCGCAGTGAGAGAGCCATCAAGAAGCGTAGACATCAATAGGCTTGCTGCTCACACGATGATTGGGAACAGTCGCAAAAGACCTGCACCTTGATGCTTCGTGCCCCTTCGGGGGCCTGTTTGTGTTATTCTGCTGTACATGCGAAAAACCTGCATTCACCTGTCCATTTTTCCTCGGCGTTTCTGGTTGAAATTCTTTGTAGGTACTTGCTTTGACCCATGAATTTTCTTGTTTTCACGCTCTTTTCGCTTTTAAGTTTGCAGGGGGCTGGAGTGCATCACAGAAGTCTCCAGCCAACGAAGACGCTTCTGTGAATGCAGTGAAAACGTACCTGCAGTGGCGCACTTGGGGAGAAGTACTCCAGCTGGTGGCCACAACATGTGTTTTCAAAACATGTTGTTTTCATGCAGTTTGACTCTCGCTGAAAACTTGACCATGCCTTTATTTGCTTTGAAGCTTTGTACGGTTGCTGCAATTTGTTTGAACATGTCCATGAAAGTATCTGCATTGGACGATCAGAACATCCAGAAGGCCGGGTCAGTAGGAGCCTTTCCAGTTGTGGAGACCTCGCCTGGCTTGCAGCATCAGCGACCCCGCTGTGGAGCTGCAGCTCTCGGCGCCAGAAGCCAAGCCCGGGCCCAGGAGTGCCAGGGTCAACCCAACCATGAGGCAGGACGCCATGGCAAGAGATGTTGTGCGATTGAAGCTGCAGCTAGGAAGTTCGACCAATTGCTCGAGCCGTCGCCGCGTCGCTGAGTTGCGCGCCTCCCACTTAGCCATTAAGCCATGTCCATCGGCAACTGTGCCCGCACGGGCACGGCGCACAAGGTGAACAGCTGAGATGGCAACTGCTCCTTGGTCGCGGTGATGATGCGGTCGGCCTCAGACATTTCCCAGCATGCAAAGATCCTGCACCCAGCATCCGCAAGTGCAAGCAAAGCTTGTCATGAACACATCTCCATGAGGAGCCCATGCTCTACGTAGTATCTCGAACGACCCACGAAATTGCAGTCAGAGTCCGTGGCGGCGGCTTCAGCTAAGCTGTGTGTGTATGCATGTCGGCAGCACCTGTCACCGCACACCTGGGATGACTCGCGGTTGCACTGTGGCGATGTCTACAACGACAGGCTCGGCTGGTGACGGACGGAAGAAGCATCTACGCTTTAGACTCAGGCTTTAGGTTGCATGAAGACCGTGACAATTGGATGCACGGGTTTCTGTTCTTGTTACAAGTCCGTGGTACGCTGCACTCCTTCGGCGACCAGCCTCATCGGGCCAAGCAGTGGCAGCATCTGCATGCAACCACTGGCTGCACTGCAACCTCAGAGAGCCCAGCTGGTTCTGTTCTCTATGAGCTGCCTGCACTGAAGATAGTATCCAGAATCCGCAGAGACCAAGATTTTCCATGCACGTTGCCCGAAGGTTCGACCGTTCCGGCCGCAAAAGGCGCACGCACGCGCTGCGGCACCTGGATGGCAATTGCCAGGTCCAGTGCCGGCGGGCTTCTGTAAGGCCTGGCCCCGCTGACCCCGAAATCCGAAGGCCTTTCGCTTTCGTCTTTCGTAAAAACTTCGGTCGGGCAGAAAGGTCCGGTGATCTCGGTGAGCGGGGCTCTTTGCCTTCACCGCGGAGGTCTGTGCTCCAGGGTGAACAAAACTGACGGCACAAGGCAGGAAGGGAAGAAAGCAACATCATCCCAGATGCACTCCAACATCTCGGCAGGCTTGCAGCCTTCGCGTCTTCGCATCTTCCTGCCCGCCACTCAAGCATCAGACGAATTTCACTTTGGCTGCTGCCGTAGGGACAGCTGCTTCATGTGATGCACAAGTCTCTCTGCAAGTCTATATACTGTCTATACTCCACGCATTCTTGAGACTCTCTACGAAGAGGTCATGCTCATGCAATCAAGAGATCAGCTTCACGGGCGCCGAGGCGGAGCGTGCTGCCGACCCGATCTTAGCATTGGCGGCTGCTTTGGCCAGGTCGCCGTTGAGAGTCATGGTGCTGATGGCCACCCAGCTGCCGGAGTAGTAGTCCCGGATGCGCTTGCTGGCCAAGAGCCTGCCGGCCGAGTCCAGAAGCTCCTGCTGTCTGCCGCCCTCGAGCTCCGCTGGGCAGACAAGGCTGGCGAAGGTGGGCGCCGCCATGAACATGTTAACCTGCCATCCTGGGTGGATGGTCTCCACCAGGCAAGCGCCATCCACATCCAGGGAAGACGCCCATCGCCCAGAGTTCTCCTTCTTCCCCAAGTGCTTGGCAACCGGACTCAGGAAGTCGGCGGCTGGGCGCGCCTCGGAAGGATACAGCAGGAAGTCCACCACCACTCGCCAGATGGTCCGCGACGCCTCGGCGCCGAACTCCGCACCCGGCGTGCCGCTGCCGCTGAAGCCCGTCTGAGCCCGGAGTCGGCGTCCATCTTCGAAGATCTGAGCCCAGTTCGGGACCAATCCCGTCGAAGGGCACTGCGTGGCCGCAAGCATCTTGTAGCTCGTGGCGATGAGCGTCTCCCAATCTCTTGCAAAGCCATCGCCCTCCGTGGAGGACCCGCCGTATTTCTCATCGTGAGAGGCCATGTAGTCCCGGCAGAGCCGGTAGACACCGGGCGCGTGGTAGCTGGGGTTCTGCCCTTGCGTTCCCCAGCCGCCCCAGCAGGAGCCCAACTTCACGATCTGGTGCTGGCCACTTGGGGAGGCCACGGTGGAGCTGAGATAAAACTGCTTGCAGGTGTCGTAGGCCCACTGGCCCACCTCGCCGAGCCAGGCCGGCTCGCGGCTTGTGCCTTCCAGAGCCAACACAGCCAACAACATGCCCAACAAGGCGTCGACGTCCCCATCTGGCGCAGCTCCCTTTCCGACGACCTGGGTCAAATCCTCGCCGAACTTCCAATGTGGGAGGCACGGGTATTGGCCACCGCCACACTGGAAACCCTCATCGTCCTGACAGCTGCCGCCCGCTGCGCTCAGCTCGCACATGCGGCGCCATCCGAGGAAAAGCTCGTAGGTAAGCTCGGAGACGCGGCCAAAATCCGAATCAGAGTCCATGGCAGCCAGCAGCGTCCCTGCAAGGAGGAGGCCATAGCCCTGACTCTCGGACACGATGCCCCCAGCTGCTCCGCCAGAAGATTGCACTGCGCGAGCCTTGGAGCCTGAAACGGGCTGATTGGTCAGCACCCGAACAAACTCGAAGAGGCGGTCCTTGCTGGAGCCGACTTCTGAAGTGCGGAAGGCACCCGAGGGTCCTGGACCGGGCGAAGGCACGGGCCGCACCGGGGATGGCGACGGAGTTGGAGCTGGAGTTGGGCTTGGGTTGGTGTTGCCGACAATCTCGCATGTCCAGGGCGTTCGGAACTCTTCCGGGTCCCTGGGGTTCACGCTGCCGGGCACGCAACTGCTGCGGCAGGCCGCAAAGAAGGCATCCTTCTCATAGCAGGTCTGCCCAGCTTGCTGACAGCAGCCGGCATCGCGGCAGTCGTCCCCTGGAGCGGCACACTCCGCAGGTGACGGAGTTGGAGTTGGAGCCGTGGTGGTGGTGGTGGCCATCACGGTGGTCGTGGTCAGCTTTGTCGTAGTCGGAGAAGGTGCCGGAGTTGGAGTAGTCGGAGTCGGAGAAGGAGAAGGGCCCGGCGAGGGCCCGGAGCCGGAGGTGCTGCAGGAACTTCCTTTCGCCACAGGCCACGAGCTGAAGCAGTCGCGGAAGGCCATTTCCGTTCCGCCCTCCAGGCTCACCTTGAAACCAACAACAGAGCCACCACCTCCGAGGTTGGCCTCCCAAGTCGCTCCCGATACACGACGCATCTCCGTCGCTTTCCCATCCACGGATATCCAGGCAGCCAGGACGGCATGAGGCAAGTTGGAGAAGATGGCTCGTGTGTACCAGGCGTTGTCCCCATCCACGATGGTCGCCACTGGCCCTGCGCCATTCACCTCACACTCGACGGGCTCAAGGCGGACCTCGAAAGTGCCGCCGTCCGCACCGGCGATGGTGCGGAAGGCGTCGGAGAAGCAGTCCAAGTTGTTGGAGCCTCCATGAGACCCGATGATCTGCACCACCATGCTGCCCTGACCCTCTCGCTCAGCCTTCCAGCAGGAGCCACAGGCGACTCCGCCGCCGTAGATCGCAGGGTTGGCCAGGCAAACAGCCCGGGATTCCAGGTATTTGCTTGTGGCCGACGGCGACTCAAGACCACCTTGCGATGCGCTGGCGTATTCGCAGGAGCCACCTTGGAAAGCCGAGGCATCGTCGGTCCAAAGGCCCATGGACGCCGTCACCACCTCGCTCACCGCGTGTTTGTGGAGACCTCGCCTGGCTTGCAGCATCAGCGACCCCGCTGTGGAGCTGCAGCTCTCGGCGCCAGAAGCCAAGCCCGGGCCCAGGAGTGCCAGGGTCAACCCAACCATGAGGCAGGACGCCATGGCAAGAGATGTTGTGCGATTGAAGCTGCAGCTAGGAAGTTCGACCAATTGCTCGAGCCGTCGCCGCGTCGCTGAGTTGCGCGCCTCCCACTAAGCCATTAAGCCATGTCCATCGGCAACTGTGCCCGCACGGGCACGGCGCACAAGGTGAACAGCTGAGATGGCAACTGCTCCTTGGTCGCGGTGATGATGCGGTCGGCCTCAGACATTTCCCAGCATGCAAAGATCCTGCACCCAGCATCCGCAAGTGCAAGCAAAGCTTGTCATGAACACATCTCCATGAGGAGCCCATGCTCTACGTAGTATCTCGAACGACCCACGAAATTGCAGTCAGAGTCCGTGGCGGCGGCTTCAGCTAAGCTGTGTGTGTATGCATGTTGGCAGCACCTGTCACCGCACACCTGGGATGACTCGCGGTTGCACTGTGGCGATGTCTACAACGACAGGCTCGGCTGGTGACGGACGGAACAAGCATCTACGCTTTAGACTCAGGCTTTAGGTTGCATGAAGACCGTGACAATTGGATGCACGGGTTTCTGTTCTTGTTACAAGTCCGTGGTACGCTGCACTCCTTCGGCGACCAGCCTCATCGGGCCAAGCAGTGGCAGCATCTGCATGCAACCACTGGCTGCACTGCAACCTCAGAGAGCCCAGCTGGTTCTGTTCTCTATAGCCTGCACTGAAGATAGTATCCAGAATCCGCAGAGACCAAGATTTTCCATGCACGTTGCCCGAAGGTTCGACCGTTCCGGCCGCAAAAGGCGCACGCACGCGCTGCGGCACCTGGATGGCAATTGCCAGGTCCAGTGCCGGCGGGCTTCTGTAAGGCCTGGCCCCGCTGACCCCGAAATCCGAAGGCCTTTCGCTTTCGTCTTTCGTAAAAACTTCGGTCGGGCAGAAAGGTCCGGTGATCTCGGTGAGCGGGGCTCTTTGCCTTCACCGCGGAGGTCTGTGCTCCAGGGTGAACAAAACTGACGGCACAAGGCAGGAAGGGAAGAAAGCAACATCATCCCAGATGCACTCCAACATCTCGGCAGGCTTGCAGCCTTCGCGTCTTCGCATCTTCCTGCCCGCCACTCAAGCATCAGACGAATTTCACTTTGGCTGCTGCCGTAGGGACAGCTGCTTCATGTGATGCACAAGTCTCTCTGCAAGTCTATATACTGTATACTCCATGCATTCTTGAGACTCTCTACGAAGAGGTCATGCTCATGCAATCAAGAGATCAGCTTCACGGGCGCCGAGGCGGAGCGTGCTGCCGACCCGATCTTAGCATTGGCGGCTGCTTTGGCCAGGTCGCCGTTGAGAGTCATGGTGCTGATGGCCACCCAGCTGCCGGAGTAGTAGTCCCGGATGCGCTTGCTGGCCAAGAGCCTGCCGGCCGAGTCCAGAAGCTCCTGCTGTCTGCCGCCCTCGAGCTCCGCTGGGCAGACAAGGCTGGCGAAGGTGGGCGCCGCCATGAACATGTTAACCTGCCATCCTGGGTGGATGGTCTCCACCAGGCAAGCGCCATCCACATCCAGGGAAGACGCCCATCGCCCAGAGTTCTCCTTCTTCCCCAAGTGCTTGGCAACCGGACTCAGGAAGTCGGCGGCTGGGCGCGCCTCGGAAGGATACAGCAGGAAGTCCACCACCACTCGCCAGATGGTCCGCGACGCCTCGGCGCCGAACTCCGCACCCGGCGTGCCGCTGCCGCTGAAGCCCGTCTGAGCCCGGAGTCGGCGTCCATCTTCGAAGATCTGAGCCCAGTTCGGGACCAATCCCGTCGAAGGGCACTGCGTGGCCGCAAGCATCTTGTAGCTCGTGGCGATGAGCGTCTCCCAATCTCTTGCAAAGCCATCGCCCTCCGTGGAGGACCCGCCGTATTTCTCATCGTGAGAGGCCATGTAGTCCCGGCAGAGCCGGTAGACACCGGGCGCGTGGTAGCTGGGGTTCTGCCCTTGCGTTCCCCAGCCGCCCCAGCAGGAGCCCAACTTCACGATCTGGTGCTGGCCACTTGGGGAGGCCACGGTGGAGCTGAGATAAAACTGCTTGCAGGTGTCGTAGGCCCACTGGCCCACCTCGCCGAGCCAGGCCGGCTCGCGGCTTGTGCCTTCCAGAGCCAACACAGCCAACAACATGCCCAACAAGGCGTCGACGTCCCCATCTGGCGCAGCTCCCTTTCCGACGACCTGGGTCAAATCCTCGCCGAACTTCCAATGTGGGAGGCACGGGTATTGGCCACCGCCACACTGGAAACCCTCATCGTCCTGACAGCTGCCGCCCGCTGCGCTCAGCTCGCACATGCGGCGCCATCCGAGGAAAAGCTCGTAGGTAAGCTCGGAGACGCGGCCAAAATCCGAATCAGAGTCCATGGCAGCCAGCAGCGTCCCTGCAAGGAGGAGGCCATAGCCCTGACTCTCGGACACGATGCCCCCAGCTGCTCCGCCAGAAGATTGCACTGCGCGAGCCTTGGAGCCTGAAACGGGCTGATTGGTCAGCACCCGAACAAACTCGAAGAGGCGGTCCTTGCTGGAGCCGACTTCTGAAGTGCGGAAGGCACCCGAGGGTCCTGGACCGGGCGAAGGCACGGGCCGCACCGGGGATGGCGACGGAGTTGGAGCTGGAGTTGGGCTTGGGTTGGTGTTGCCGACAATCTCGCATGTCCAGGGCGTTCGGAACTCTTCCGGGTCCCTGGGGTTCACGCTGCCGGGCACGCAACTGCTGCGGCAGGCCGCAAAGAAGGCATCCTTCTCATAGCAGGTCTGCCCGGCTTGCTGACAGCAGCCGGCATCGCGGCAGTCGTCCCCTGGAGCGGCACACTCCGCAGGTGACGGAGTTGGAGTTGGAGCCGTGGTGGTGGTGGCCATCGCGGTGGTCGTGGTCAGCTTTGTCGTAGTCGGAGAAGGTGCCGGAGTTGGAGTAGTCGGAGTCGGAGAAGGAGAAGGGCCCGGCGAGGGCCCGGAGCCGGAGGTGCTGCAGGAACTTCCTTTCGCCACAGGCCACGAGCTGAAGCAGTCGCGGAAGGCCATTTCCGTTCCGCCCTCCAGGCTCACCTTGAAACCAACAACAGAGCCACCACCTCCGAGGTTGGCCTCCCAAGTCGCTCCCGATACACGACGCATCTCCGTCGCTTTCCCATCCACGGATATCCAGGCAGCCAGGACGGCATGAGGCAAGTTGGAGAAGATGGCTCGTGTGTACCAGGCGTTGTCCCCATCCACGATGGTCGCCACTGGCCCTGCGCCATTCACCTCACACTCGACGGGCTCAAGGCGGACCTCGAAAGTGCCGCCGTCCGCACCGGCGATGGTGCGGAAGGCGTCGGAGAAGCAGTCCAAGTTGTTGGAGCCTCCATGAGACCCGATGATCTGCACCACCATGCTGCCCTGACCCTCTCGCTCAGCCTTCCAGCAGGAGCCACAGGCGACTCCGCCGCCGTAGATCGCAGGGTTGGCCAGGCAAACAGCCCGGGATTCCAGGTATTTGCTTGTGGCCGACGGCGACTCAAGACCACCTTGCGATGCGCTGGCGTATTCGCAGGAGCCACCTTGGAAAGCCGAGGCATCGTCGGTCCAAAGGCCCATGGACGCCGTCACCACCTCGCTCACCGCGTGTTTGTGGAGACCTCGCCTGGCTTGCAGCATCAGCGACCCCGCTGTGGAGCTGCAGCTCTCGGCGCCAGAAGCCAAGCCCGGGCCCAGGAGTGCCAGGGTCAACCCAACCATGAGGCAGGACGCCATGGCAAGAGATGTTGTGCGATTGAAGCTGCAGCTAGGAATTTCGACCAATTGCTCGAGCCGTCGCCGCGTCGCTGAGTTGCGCGCCTCCCACTAAGCCATTAAGCCATGTCCATCGGCAACTGTGCCCGCACGGGCACGGCGCACAAGGTGAACAGCTGAGATGGCAACTGCTCCTTGGTCGCGGTGATGATGCGGTCGGCCTCAGACATTTCCCAGCATGCAAAGATCCTGCACCCAGCATCCGCAAGTGCAAGCAAAGCTTGTCATGAACACATCTCCATGAGGAGCCCATGCTCTACGTAGTATCTCGAACGACCCACGAAATTGCAGTCAGAGTCCGTGGCGGCGGCTTCAGCTAAGCTGTGTGTGTATGCATGTTGGCAGCACCTGTCACCGCACACCTGGGATGACTCGCGGTTGCACTGTGGCGATGTCTACAACGACAGGCTCGGCTGGTGACGGACGGAACAAGCATCTACGCTTTAGACTCAGGCTTTAGGTTGCATGAAGACCGTGACAATTGGATGCACGGGTTTCTGTTCTTGTTACAAGTCCGTGGTACGCTGCACTCCTTCGGCGACCAGCCTCATCGGGCCAAGCAGTGGCAGCATCTGCATGCAACCACTGGCTGCACTGCAACCTCAGAGAGCCCAGCTGGTTCTGTTCTCTATGAGCTGCCTGCACTGAAGATAGTATCCAGAATCCGCAGAGACCAAGATTTTCCATGCACGTTGCCCGAAGGTTCGACCGTTCCGGCCGCAAAAGGCGCACGCACGCGCTGCGGCACCTGGATGGCAATTGCCAGGTCCAGTGCCGGCGGGCTTCTGTAAGGCCTGGCCCCGCTGACCCCGAAATCCGAAGGCCTTTCGCTTTCGTCTTTCGTAAAAACTTCGGTCGGGCAGAAAGGTCCGGTGATCTCGGTGAGCGGGGCTCTTTGCCTTCACCGCGGAGGTCTGTGCTCCAGGGTGAACAAAACTGACGGCACAAGGCAGGAAGGGAAGAAAGCAACATCATCCCAGATGCACTCCAACATCTCGGCAGGCTTGCAGCCTTCGCGTCTTCGCATCTTCCTGCCCGCCACTCAAGCATCAGACGAATTTCACTTTGGCTGCTGCCGTAGGGACAGCTGCTTCATGTGATGCACAAGTCTCTCTGCAAGTCTATATACTGTATACTCCATGCATTCTTGAGACTCTCTACGAAGAGGTCATGCTCATGCAATCAAGAGATCAGCTTCACGGGCGCCGAGGCGGAGCGTGCTGCCGACCCGATCTTAGCATTGGCGGCTGCTTTGGCCAGGTCGCCGTTGAGAGTCATGGTGCTGATGGCCACCCAGCTGCCGGAGTAGTAGTCCCGGATGCGCTTGCTGGCCAAGAGCCTGCCGGCCGAGTCCAGAAGCTCCTGCTGTCTGCCGCCCTCGAGCTCCGCTGGGCAGACAAGGCTGGCGAAGGTGGGCGCCGCCATGAACATGTTAACCTGCCATCCTGGGTGGATGGTCTCCACCAGGCAAGCGCCATCCACATCCAGGGAAGACGCCCATCGCCCAGAGTTCTCCTTCTTCCCCAAGTGCTTCGCAACCGGACTCAGGAAGTCTGCGGCTGGGCGCGCCTCGGAAGGATACAGCAGGAAGTCCACCACCACTCGCCAGATGGTCCGCGACGCCTCGGCGCCGAACTCCGCACCCGGCGTGCCGCTGCCGCTGAAGCCCGTCTGAGCCCGGAGTCGACGTCCATCTTCGAAGATCTGAGCCCAGTTCGGGACCAATCCCGTCGAAGGGCACTGCGTGGCCGCAAGCATCTTGTAGCTCGTGGCGATGAGCGTCTCCCAATCTCTTGCAAAGCCATCGCCCTCCGTGGAGGACCCGCCGTATTTCTCATCGTGAGAGGCCATGTAGTCCCGGCAGAGCCGGTAGACACCGGGCGCGTGGTAGCTGGGGTTCTGCCCTTGCGTTCCCCAGCCGCCCCAGCAGGAGCCCAACTTCACGATCTGGTGCTGGCCACTTGGGGAGGCCACGGTGGAGCTGAGATAAAACTGCTTGCAGGTGTCGTAGGCCCACTGGCCCACCTCGCCGAGCCAGGCCGGCTCGCGGCTTGTGCCTTCCAGAGCCAACACAGCCAACAACATGCCCAACAAGGCGTCGACGTCCCCATCTGGCGCAGCTCCCTTTCCGACGACCTGGGTCAAATCCTCGCCGAACTTCCAATGTGGGAGGCACGGGTATTGGCCACCGCCACACTGGAAACCCTCATCGTCCTGACAGCTGCCGCCCGCTGCGCTCAGCTCGCACATGCGGCGCCATCCGAGGAAAAGCTCGTAGGTAAGCTCGGAGACGCGGCCAAAATCCGAATCAGAGTCCATGGCAGCCAGCAGCGTCCCTGCAAGGAGGAGGCCATAGCCCTGACTCTCGGACACGATGCCCCCAGCTGCTCCGCCAGAAGATTGCACTGCGCGAGCCTTGGAGCCTGAAACGGGCTGATTGGTCAGCACCCGAACAAACTCGAAGAGGCGGTCCTTGCTGGAGCCGACTTCTGAAGTGCGGAAGGCACCCGAGGGTCCCGGGCCAGGAGAAGGCACGGGCCGCACCGGGGATGGCGACGGAGTTGGAGCTGGAGTTGGGCTTGGGTTGGTGTTGCCGACAATCTCGCATGTCCAAGGCGTTCGGAACGCTGGCGGGTCCCTGGGGTTCACGCTGCCGGGCACGCAACTGCTGCGGCAGGCCGCAAAGAAGGCATCCTTCTCGTAGCAGGTCTGCCCGGCTTGCTGACAGCAGCCGGCATCGCGGCAGTCGTCCCCTGGAGCGGCACACTCCGCAGGTGACGGAGTTGGAGTTGGAGCCGCGGTGGTGGCCATCGCGGTGGTCGTGGTCAGCTTTGTCGTAGTCGGAGAAGGTGCCGGAGTTGGAGTAGTCGGAGTCGGAGAAGGAGAAGGGCCCGGCGAGGGCCCGGAGCCGGAGGTGCTGCAGGAACTTCCTTTCGCCACAGGCCACGAGCTGAAGCAGTCGCGGAAGGCCATTTCCGTTCCGCCCTCCAGGCTCACCTTGAAACCAACAACAGAGCCACCACCTCCGAGGTTGGCCTCCCAAGTCGCTCCCGATACACGACGCATCTCCGTCGCTTTCCCATCCACGGATATCCAGGCAGCCAGGACGGCATGAGGCAAGTTGGAGAAGATGGCTCGTGTGTACCAGGCGTTGTCCCCATCCACGATGGTCGCCACTGGCCCTGCGCCATTCACCTCACACTCGACGGGCTCAAGGCGGACCTCGAAAGTGCCGGCGTCCGCACCGGCGATGGTGCGGAAGGCGTCGGAGAAGCAGTCCAAGTTGTTGGAGCCTCCATGAGACCCGATGATCTGCACCACCATGCTGCCCTGACCCTCTCGCTCAGCCTTCCAGCAGGAGCCACAGGCGACTCCGCCGCCGTAGATCGCAGGGTTGGCCAGGCAAACAGCCCGGGATTCCAGGTATTTGCTTGTGGCCGACGGCGACTCAAGACCACCTTGCGATGCGCTGGCGTATTCGCAGGAGCCACCTTGGAAAGCCGAGGCATCGTCGGTCCAAAGGCCCATGGACGCCGTCACCACCTCGCTCACCGCGTGTTTGTGGAGACCTCGCCTGGCTTGCAGCATCAGCGACCCCGCTGTGGAGCTGCAGCTCTCGGCGCCAGAAGCCAAGCCCGGGCCCAGGAGTGCCAGGGTCAACCCAACCATGAGGCAGGACGCCATGGCAAGAGATGTTGTGCGATTGAAGCTGCAGCTAGTAATTTCGACCAATTGCTCGAGCCGTCGCCGCGTCGCTGAGTTGCGCGCCTCCCACTAAGCCATTAAGCCATGTCCATCGGCAACTGTGCCCGCACGGGCACGGCGCACAAGGTGAACAGCTGAGATGGCAACTGCTCCTTGGTCGCGGTGATGATGCGGTCGGCCTCAGACATTTCCCCAGCATGCAAAGATCCTGCACCCAGCATCCACAAGTGCAAGCAAAGCTTGTCATGAACACATTCTTAAGAGGAGCCCATGCTCTACATAGTATCTCGAACGACCCACGAAATTCCAATCAGAGTCCGGCTGGGTGCTGAGTTTTGGAAGCCGAGGCCGAGGCTTCAGTGAAGCTGTGCACGGGCGGCAGCTGTCACGGCACAACTGGACGACTCGCGGGTCGCATAGTGGCGATACGCAAAACGACAGCCTCGGCAAGTGACGGACAAGACCGAAAAAGCCTCTACTCTTCAGGTTGCAACGAGTCTGTGGTATGGCGACGATACCACGTCGGGCCATGACAGCAGTGACACCGACGGCGACAACGACTGCAGCAGCAGCACCAGCAGCGCTGCCGTCACTGCCGTTACAACCACAGACACCAACGAGTAGCACTAGCTGCTGTTGTTTAGAGCAGTGGCTACGACAGTAGCGACACCAAAAAGCAAGAATCTTGGCCATCAGGCCGAACAGTCGCGTGGCCTCTGGTCCTAGATGCCACCATTAACGAAAACCATGACAACGGAAGCAAGAACTGCAAGAGGTAGGCACACTTCTGTCAACCATTACTTCATTACTTCAGAATTCAAGGCCTCTCAGGAGAATCAGCCGTCTGCTGCATCATCGTAGCGCCGGCTCCAACCCGGTTCCTGCGAGTGAGGACGATAAATCGCATGCGCCGGCTCACGCGCAGATAATCTCACTTCTGGGTCTTATCTACCAGTATCTTGCGAATGCAACTTCTCTAGTGAGTGTTCGTCCTGTCGCTCAGCGATTTCGGCTGTCATGACTGGCCACTCGCAACTGCTGGTACGTACTGCCAGTCTCCTCCATAATTGTGACTTTGGATCGCCGCAAGACACAAGAAAACCGTAAGAAGATCAAAGGCCGTCATTTATTAGCAATGCCTCACGTACTGTGCCCCTTCGAAGTCAGACGCTGCTGCAAACAGCACAGAGAAAAAAGCTGTCGTGACAAATCTGGCTGGTGCATGTATCATGGTACTCAGAAGCGCAGCTTGGTGTTTCTGGCCGTGCAGATGCATTGCAGCTCGAGGTCTCTCAGGCTAATTGTCGCAATGGATAATTTTCCATAGGCATCTGCAGAAATGGATTCGTCCTGTCTTTGAGCCTTCTGTCTCGATCACCAGTGTGGGTCCTATACGTTCGATGATACCGACGTCATCTCTCAGACAGGGTTCTCCACCGGCAGTGGTGTCTCTGGTGCCCCGAGCCGGGTGTGAAACCGGGCCTTTGAAAACGAGCTCGGCCTGGGGCCTGGGATGCCTGGGATGCCCAGGCCCCGGCGCCAGCTTCTGGAGCTCCAAACAGAGTTGCGAACCTTGGAAGTTATCTGCTCACAGAGCTAGGCACCTCCTAGGTCCTAGATCTCTTTTCGTTTCTCACTTCCAGTTCCGGCGTCTCCGTTGCTTCCGGGCTGTTCTCAGCTTAGCTTGCAAGAGGGAATAAATCGGATCGCAGATCCTCTCGTTGAGAACAGCCCGGACATGCGGGAGCTGATTACTGATCATCCGCAGCACCTCCCAGGTCCAGCTGCGCCTCACAGGGGATGGGATGAGTAGGGGGTTGGAGCCTACCGACATGGGCTAGTGCGAAATAGTGCGAAAGCGCTCCTGCGGTGGATCGGAACGCAGTGCACTCCAAAGGCGTGAAATATGCTTGGCGAAGGTTGGAGAGCCCGAAAGGCTGGCTTGACATCTTGCAAGAGTTGCTCAAATTCCAATCGTGGCACATCCAGGCCTGCGGCAACGACAAGAAGGCCAACTTTCGATCTGAACCATGATGAGGAGAGGTTTGGCACCACTAGCCACTAGTCCCTACTACCCCGGCACGACATGAAGCCTGCAGCGCAGCCTCAACATCCGGTAGTCTCTTTGCTCGGCGGCGGTTCGAGTGGGACGACACCACTGACACCCAACCGAACCAACACACAAGCTTCTGAGCCCACCCCGCTTTTCGATCGAAAAGCGGGCTCTTGGACAGGGTGCAGAAGCCCTCGGTGCCTCTCTCAGGAGCGCCATCGAGGCTTTGCGGAAGAGGAGCGGCCCGTGTTAAACCTCGGTCCGGAGCGCAGGAAGTGCCGAAGCCGAAGCGGTGGGCTCCTTTCGCCAGACATTCTAAGCCGCAGGCGCTGGGGTCGGCGAGGGGGCCCGGCGCAGATGGGCGGTCATGGAACGCTGATTGGACCTGCGACTGCGCTGGATCGTGCTGGACTGCGGAAGGCTCGCTGCTATCGTCATGAGTCCCGGCACAATCCTTCACCTGCTCTGCTCCCTAAACCCCGGCCCTGTCACCCTGTCCAACCTTTCGAACGGCGAGCTCCCAGACCCCGGGTAGGAGTGCCCCGGAGCCTTTGTCAGCCGTCACTTTCAGACTCAACATGAGCAGGAGGCTGCTGCGGCTGCTGCAAGACCGAGAAGGCGACATACTTTGTTGCTGGGACGGGGGAGCTCCGAGCATTGGTCCTCGTTGTTGTCTTGCGCTTCTCTCTTGGGCCGCGAAGTCTTGTGCCGGAAGGCTTCCGATAAGGCCAGTGCGGGGATGGTGGCCGTGAGGACGAGCTTGACCTCCGATTGCATGTCACACTTGACTCCACCTAGACTCCGCGCCCTGACTTGATCTGAGGGTGGCGCCGCACTTGACCTGCACTCGGCGATGCCTCACTCGCACGGCAGGCCCTTGTGCACCCTCTGGCATGCCCGAGCTTGCAGCAGACTGCGAGACTACGCCCTTCCCGGGTCGCAAACCGGCCGTCGCTGTGATCCCGATCTGATTGGCGTAGATGCAGACCTCCCGCGAGGAAGAGCTGGCAAACTTGCAACTGGGGCCCTTCTCTCGCAATCGACTCTGCGACAGAACGAAGCTCTAAAAGGTATACAACTATACAACTACAACTAACGACATGTCGAAGAACAGCGCAGTGGTCTCCAAGATCAACTCAGCTCAATGGGATGGTGGAAGACATGTCGCAAACCCAAGAAACCCAGAACTTCAAGTCCCAGCATTGAGGCCGCAGACCTAGGACCAAGCCCTGCATGAAGCGTAAGAGTCCTACAGCCTCAGCCTCGGCAGAACCCTGAGCTCAAACCCAAATCCCAAGTACCGAAGCATTGCGACGATGTCACTGGGGCTCCGCACCCAGGTGGCGGCGCAGTAGACGGTCGGCTCCGGCCGGGACCTGCCACGCAGACAAGTCTTCTCTTCCTGTTTGATGCTTTCTGTCTTATTCATCTTCAGCCCGTCAGCTCAAGTCAGGAAGCTGAGAGGCCGATCAGAAGCGCCCCGAAACCACTGTGGGCGGGCTTCAACTACCCAAGATCACCGCCCAGAGCTATGGGAAGTGGGAAGGATTGCCCAGCCGACAACCCCATCAGGGCGAGTGGAGTCACGGCATTACGGCATAGTGTCTGCTCCGCTTGACGGTCCACAATCCAACCGATATCATCACTACAGCATACGCGGTCTATCAGAGTCTATCAGTCAAAATGCAAAGGCTGTACTGTAAAGGGCTGGCCAAAGACTCGATCTTCAAATTGTGTAGTGCAAGGACAAGGAAATTGGTGGATTGCCGGAAGCAAGTAAGCAACTCGACCCGCGCGGAGCTGCGAAAACATGTAGGCGAGACGGGCAGCGTCCCCAAGCAAATCTGCTTTCACTCGAACCTCAATGCACAGGGCTTCCACTCGCCTTCAAAAGCCTCCACAAGGCTCGTGAAAACTCCACGTCACATCGGCTTCCGGCCGGACCGCCACTGCGGAAAGCGCCCATGCCCCGAGCCTGTGCACGCCCATGCGAGCTTCTGCGAGATGGCAGGGCTGATCAAATCAAGGGAGCTGGCCCCGCAGCCCGCTGTTGAAGGTCCAGGATTCGTTGCTCGCGCGGCCCCCAAAGTAAAGCCAAAGCCTGCGCTTCGTACGCACAGTCCGCCATCTACCTTTTCTGCAGGCAAGGAATACAAAGCCGGAAACTGAGGAGGCTGCTTTGTGGTCCTGCACTCTGGGAAACAGTCGTCGGATAGCGGCCTGCCCAGTAGCCCAGCCGAGAAGCGCGTCTCACAGCGCGAAAACGACACGCACGGGCCGAATTATGATGTGAACCAGTCAGTCAATCGATCAATCAATCAGTCAATCACTCACTCACTCAATCACTCACGCACTCACTCAGTCAGTCAATCAATCAATCAATCACTCTATATATATATATATATAGCGAGAGATAGTAATATCAACATGTATACATATGTGTATTGAAATACATATGCACATATACGTATATACATATACACATACAATCACATACATATACCTCCACAGCTTCTGCTTTTAAGCACGGGTTTCAGAAATGCCGATTGACCATCGGTGCCCTCTACGTGCATCCGTAAGCTATACTGCCCGATGACTCTACAGTCGGCGTCTCTTCTAACATGGACATCCTGCTGGGCCCGCCGGACTGGCAGAATCTGGTAGACGCTTGCAAGAAGAATGACGAACTACTCAAGGCGACCGTCCAGATATGTCCAGATCCATAAGAACACACTCCTGTGTGGGGAGCCTGCTCCCAAATAGGCTTCGCTTCAAGGCTGACATTCCCTGTTTGCTGCTGAATCACCTTGACCCAATTCTGTCACTTCAATAAAAACTGAATATTCCAGATCTATGCATATATATATATATACATGCATGTGCAGGTATATGTATATCTCAGATGTCTCTTACATATGTATATATACATGTATACATACACGTATATACGCGTATGCACTTACTTATGTTTTGTAAGTTACCCATGTGTGTATATCAAGAGAGAGGGAAGAGAGAGAGAGAGAGAGACAGAAAAATAAAAACACTGTATGTTTTAGAAGCCCTAAAACTGCCAAGCTCTTGGCTCGGTCCAGGCGAGGAGCCGCGCTCTTTGCCTCGTCAGGGCTCGGAACATAGCCGCTGTCGCAGGCTTGGAAACTGTTTCACAAACGTCCGCTACAGGTTCCAGGTCTCATCCAAGTTGATGGGCGAGGCCAGCCTGACCGCATGGGAGACTCGGGCCGCATGGAAGGAGACCTCGGTCACATGTCCGACGACGGGCGTTGCCGGCGTTGCTGCAAACGAGGCCACGACGACTCTCTTGGAACAGTCTTGGCACTTGCCAATGCCCTATCAGCCCTCAACGGTTGCTGGTCAGCTGGTCTTGCCGGGGGGACTATGCCCTGCTATGATCGCAAAACGGGAACTGGTTTTCTGATCCCGGCCCGCTACACACACTCTCGTCTGTGCTACTGCCAAGGAAATCTGCCTCACACTTCCTAAACTTCACTCACCATGCGGCCAGCTACAGTAGCCCCAGGGCATGACAGTACCACTTTGATGCGCGGTGTCTCCTTGCAAGGCTAAGCTGATGGCTCGTTCCTCCGCGAAGACCCACCTGTGCTCAGTGTACTCAGTGTACCCCACGAGCCCATCCCAGACATCTGTCGATCTGCCCACACGTGCCACGCGTGGCCTATCTGTATATGTGATATGTTTGATTGATCAGATACAGAATTGGTTCCTCGCGCGTTGGATTGATGGGGATGGTTCTGCAGATAACCTCGATGATGCTGCCAATGATACTGCTCACCTCGATGACGATGATGACGGTGATGACGACGAAGAAAATGGGAGGAGGCAAAGCAGGATGGGGATTAAGATGATGATCGAGATTTATGCTGCTGCCGGTGACAGCGGTGCTGGCAGCAGTGCTGGTGATGATGGTGTTGTTTTCGTACTATGGCTGGTGCTGGTGGTGTCAGTGCTTCTTGTTCCGCTGAATCCGGTGGCGGTGCTGATGCTGGGCTGGAGGCTGGGAATGGTGTGACAACGCTGGTGCCGAAGAGGGAAAAGGAGCATGTGCTTCGTGACATGTTACATGCTTATACATGCATGCTTGCATACATTCCATCCTTACATATGTACATTGATTTGTACATACATGCGTACATACACATGTGCATGTTACATATATATATATATATATGTATGTATGTATGTATGTATGTATATACTCATAATTATATATATATATATATATATATATATATATATATATATATTATATATACATATATGTGTGTGTGTGTGTGCGTGTGTTTGTGTGTCTACATCTGTACATAGTGTGTGTATGTGTATGTGTACATGTGTATATATCTAAAACCGATCGTACGATGGCTCCGGCCTTTAGGTGGAGGCTCCAAGGAACTTGATCTCGCGGGCTTGCCATCCCTCGGATCGCACAAGTCGCACAAGTGACTTTGATGACCGAGCAAACGAGAATCTTCTAGTTGCACAAGTCGGCTTCGCAAGTTGCTCAGCCAGGGACATGCTTGGCCTGACACATCACAGCCACAGCTAGCTCTGAAGCAAAACGCTGGTTCAGGCTCCACGGCCAAATCATGGCATAGGACCATGCATTCTTTCCGTGGTAAACAGGTCGGAGGTTCTCTGGTGCCGGGCTTTCCTCAACGCAGCACAAGGAGTATGCATTGAAGGATGTGGAAGGCCGGAAAAACTTGAAGAATTGGCTGCTGCAGCCACAGTGGCGCTTCGGCGACCCATTACGGGACCCGTCAGGGAGTCGCGGATGTTAGTCGCCGGACCTGTTGCCACTGACACGAGTCACGAGTGAGGGCTGCAGCTCCGAAAAGAGTTCAAAGATGCGGCGAAGCGGAGCCTCTCCGCGGTTCTCGCCCTGCGCTGCCTTGCCTGCATCAACACAGCCGCTAGTCTTCGCACACAACGGCAAGAGCCCTGCATAGTGGCAAACACCTGTCGATTCTATCAAGCCCATAGCCAGGCGACGCTGTTTGCTGCGATTTGCAGGATACTGGTTGGCTCAGCACAACAGAGCTGGGCTTCTGACGCTGAGAAGCTGCTTCCGCGGAAAGCCTGCAGAAGCGCCGACCACCGGATGCCATCTACATCTACTGACAAGTCGAATCCACCAATCTTCGCCTCGAAGGGCTGGGGCCCCGAAGGTGCTGAAGCTGGGATGACACCTTGGCCGACCAAAAGGGGCATTTTCGGCCGAAGCCCTCAAGGACAAGGCCTTAAAAGGCGGCACACGTGACCGGACTCTTTTCAAAACCTAACAAACGCCAAGCGCGTCTGCGTTTAAGTGATGTGCGCCAATGGCCCAGGTTATCTGGCCTGTCGCTGTCCCTGACGCATAGCTCCGGTGGCCGAGGCGGCTCTGTCCAAGTGCTGATGACAGGACTTCCGAAATCACATCTTCCTGTGCCGCGACGAGCTCCGACATTCTGGCATTCTGCAGGCCAGCGCGGCCAGCTGGTGAAACGGCATGAAACGTCACCGGAGCACTATAAGCAATTTCCCAACTAAGAGTTTCATCAATCAGAATGCAGGTTCGTCTCGACTGCATCGCCCAGAACTTGCGAAAATGCTGCAAACCTTAGGAGTTGACAGTCAGTGCCGGCATCATAAAACTTGTTCGGGCAAGTTGGAAAAATAAACATCAGGTTGCAAACCGACTGCTAGCACGGGACGCGACCAGCACTGCTACTCCTGCCAGGACGAGGCAGAAGGCATTGACCATGTCGTTGCTCTTGTCAACGCTCTTCCTTGGTGCAAAGCACGGCTGACGCAAACGAAGGAAACAAGCTTTTGAAGAACGGGCGCTTCTGAACGATTTCATGCGGCGATTGTGTGTCTCTGAAATTTTCATGTCTTCGCTTCTGTTTTATCATGCAGTTTCTGCAAACCTGAAGGAATAAAACGTTAGGTAGCCCTTTGTCGTCTTCATCTCTTCACTATGTTACGAAGAACTCTAGGTCTCAAGGTTTCTACAGGTAAACACCGAAGTCATAACACGGTGTGCGAGCCCTTCCCCCATGTACTGTAGCGGCGCACATCAGGTTTGCCCTGAGGCCGTGACGCCGCATGTGCGCAGTTGGCCGGAGGACAATCAAATTGCAAGAGTTGCGGATCACCGAATCTCACCAGCGTAGCCGAGCGGCAGGACGTCCACGCAGGGCTTCTTTTGAAAGAGTTGGTTCACATGGCTGGAATCCTGCTGTACATCCCGCGCCATGTCGAAGACCTCGACTGGAGATGCGCAGCCGAGCATTCATGCTGTCTTAAGGCTTGGGCTTGGGGCTGCAGACTGGCAGAGGGTCTTCCCAGCTGTCGGACCAGAAATCAACCCTGTGCCGGAGCCTCTGCAGACCACCGACCGAGAACATGCCACTTGCGGGCCTGATCGGAACAGGTCTTTGTCACAGAGTGTCGGGTTTCGGTCTATAGCTGCAAAGACGCTTCGTGTCAACTGCACAACTTAGCGCAGAATAAAACCATGAACCAGATGCAGAGATAACTCAAAGACAACCATGTCCCATAACATGATTTTATCACAGGCCTAAGTTCGAAACCGTCATACCGACGCCGGTCATGGCTGCGAAAGCCAGGGTGCGAAATGCACCGATGCGAGGCGTTCTTCTGAGAGTGACCGCACTTGTTGACAAAATTCGCTGCACCTCAGGCGGGCACTCGCGAAAACTTTCGCGCTGTTGCATGAACGTCCGGGCAGTGGGAGGCCGCAACTCCGGGAAGGCGAACCCAGACAGAGCATCCAAGCAGCTTGTTCTTATGTTGCCGAGGCCATGCCGAGATTCGCAGATGACGATGGGTTTTAGCATAGACCCCCATTTCCGTCTCGTGACCATCCGTTATGCGGCACAGGCAGGCGGAAGGTCGCATCTAGAGCCTCTGCATTGAGTCGCGGCACCTGCCCCCTTCGCTCGCGTAGACACCATTGCACTCAGCTGCAAGCGGCGAGGCCTGTAGACTGTCCTGCACGTCTGTCACGGCAACTGTTGATCTGTTGATCCTTCCGAATCCAAACCCCCAGAACCGTGTCCTTGCCCGGCGTGACATACGAGTAGATCTGGAACTGGTAGTTCAGCCGGCACAGCCTGAAGCAATGTCTGTCAGCCTTGCTACACTGCAGAGACGTCGTCAGTCGCAAGCCATTTGGCAAAGCTGCGGCAAATCCGCCGCCAGTAGCGCGGCGATACCAAGCCTTGGAAAACACATGGTGAACTGCAAGGCCAACTCCACACAGCCCGCACGCTGTCAAAGGTGTTCCTGCATGATTGCGTGCAATATCCGCACAACACATCCGCGCACTGAGGCATCACTATCTTCCTAAGGGGAAGGGGTGTGGCATCCCCCAACCCCCTCTCCCACCTGAAACATTTCACCCGCATGTCTTGACATTGTTCTGATGTGGGGGGAGGACATCTGTGAAATTTCACCGGGACGTTTGGATGTGACAGCAGGACACGTGCAGCCATGCTTGGCTGTGAGACGGCTCTCCTGTTTCTCTTGCTGGCACAGCTTCACTACATTTGTCACTGTGTGCGTGAGTGTGTGGTATTGAGGTGTGGTCTGTGCACCCCGCCCCATCCCGCCCCGTTAAACAGAATTCTACCGGGGCAGTGTAAGGAGTGTTTGAACCCGCGGGAATCACAAGCACGCGCCCCGCAACCCATTCCCCCCAGCCTTTTGTCGAGATATATACGCAGTGCAGCTGCTGCTGTTGCATCGGCTGATAGCTACGGAAGGACTTTCTATGGTTACGGAGTGAGGTGCACAGAATAACACGTTGTTGGCCTAGACCTTGCCAGCTTTCTCACACTCATGCACGCACCTGTATCTTCCCATATTCACTGCCCGGGTAGTGTTCTGATTAGCGGGGCGGCATGGGGCGGGGGCATGCCGATGGTTCGCCCACACTAGACCCTGCCAGCTTTCTGATGCTCATGGATCTTGGCTGCAGTTTTTAAATTTTAGGATTTTAGGATGCTTGTGATTGCTATGGGTGCCGATCCCAGGTGGGGCCTGAAATATTTTCAGTACGCTCTGGACATCCGGAGCAGACCCCGACCCCTGAAATAAAATACCCTTGGAAATCAAGCTGCTGATGTTCTGGCAAGAAGCAGTGAAATGTTTCAAGATGTGACCCCCCCTCAATGTTTCAAGGATAAGGGGGTAATGATACTGAGGCATGTGGCAAACTTGCACCGCACTCATATCCACAGGCATGAAAGCAGGCATGTGTGGGCTTTCAATGCGTTTCCTCACTGCATCCACACATGAATTCAAGCTTGCATGTTCGGCTGCAGCGACTGGAGTCATCAACGCGCTCCACATGTCCAAGAACAACCAGTGAAGCCTACCGGGGCGTGGCCTGCAGTCTTCACCCGCTTGCACCCAAAACACAGTCCAAGAATTATGTACTGTAGCACGCGACATGTTTAGACTACAAAGGAGCTACAGGCAATAAGTAGCCTACCGCCTACCGTTTTTTTGCCGAGCTACCCGATCCACAGAGCCTTGCTGGGCCTCAGGTGCAGTCTGGTAGCAACAGCACTCAACTTCCACATGCAGTACTCATTGTGTTGCGTTTGGGCCTTGCCTCAGATTCAGCGCAAAGGCCGGACGGTGTGGGCGTTCCCGGTACAGCACCTGATGTCAGCTCTGGATACATCGGTGTCAGCTTCGCGATGCAGCTCTGTCCAAAAGCCTGAGGAACCCAGCTCAGAACTCATCACTCACCCTCCATCCGTACCAAATCGACCCAGACGCCCTCACAAGACTTCATCATGATACAACGTCAAAAGTTAGTCTATTCTATAGGAGCTTCGAGCCCGGAGAGGCCTCAAGTCTCCAGGAAGTGACCCAAATCGTCAGGGCCAGGATCGAGAGCCAGTAGTTTCGCTCCACGTAGAACAGGTTCGAGGTCCTGGGGTTAGGGAGAGTGTGCTTTTTCCCGAGTGTTCGTGCCTACCCTAACGAATCATCGAACCGTCTCCACGACACGAAACGCGCCCACTGCAAGAGCACAAGAGGATGCAGGCCAGAGAAGCAGACGATGCCGGCCAGGCATCTCTCGCTCCAAGGCACCGATCTTCTGCGTCTTGGCCTGTGCGCGCTGCACACCTTGCGAACAAGCAGACCAAGTCGATCAAGCTGAGCGCGTTCCGCCAGGGAGTCGGACAGAAATCAGGGCGGCTCGAGGTTCTGCTGAGGCAGCGGCTTGCGTAAGTTATCACTGTGAGGATGCCGCAGAATGCCTTTGCATCAGACGGGTTCAGGAATGGGCAGGAGCGGGAGGGCAGCAACTCCTGCCGCATGTTGCGCCATGCGGCTGTCATGAGCACGGCGACGTTTAGTCGAAGGTTGCCCAGGGTCACTGGCGAGGGTGCACGCATGACCTTTGAGGCCACCTGACTGGCAGAACGTGTCCAAGCAAGCTACATCAATTCTGTCGGGCTCTGATAGCTGAGGCCTGCATAAGGAAGGCGATGTCGCTGAGCAGCAGGAGCATTACAACGAATCCCGATGGGATCGCAGCATATGTAAAAATGCCCCAGAAGGTCGTCATCCTGGAAAGTCCAACCCGGGAGATAGTGCCCGTGTCATGATTCTGGAGCCTCAGCAAACGGCAGCACGCCCCACGCCTGGCGGATGCAGGCGGTTTCTCTTGTAGCCCTCTGTGGTGGCAACCTTGGTCCAGCAGGAGCAAACAACAAAGACTCCAGCAGTGCTTGCCACCCGAAACTCCACCCTCTGCGTACCCGAGCCTGGCCAGGAGCCGTCTGTTCTCGACCCCTGAGCTCTATGGCTTTAAGAGACATCTTTATGAAATTTATGACACTCTACGGGGGGAAGTTTACAGCAAACACACAGAGAACTCTTGTAGAACCGCGTGAACATGGGTGTGTTTCTTCATCCAAGTCCGGCCTCGGCCTGTGCGGCTTCTCTGCCCCAAGGGCTACGCGCTTGGGCCGAAGGGCAACGTCCAACTTCTGCACACGCAGGGCGCGCAGGGCGCGCGGTCTGCGACAGAAACTCTCGAAACCACGGATCCAGGTGACAATCCTTGTGCAATGACTACACGTGAAGTCACGAGTGAACGGTCCGGCATAGTCTGGACTCCCGACTTGACTGGACACTGGGATGCCAAGAAATGTGCTTGTCGAAGCAAGTCTGAAAACATAGAAACTCTAGGGCATGAGGACACGGAAGCGTGACGATGAAAGGACGATAGAGTTGAGTTGCACGAATCAAGCATGCAGCAGTTCACGATCTGTCCGTGCAGCATCCGTCTTGCAAAACGGCTAAAAGCGTGCGACGGGCTGCTGAAGAACACTGGTGATTTGCTCCGGGTGGTCCTATCAGGCCTTTACCCTTCTTCCCAAGCATTGGCCCGGGCGATGTGGCATCTCTCCATCAGCTCCCCATGCCGTCGGCACCTGCCACAGGTCAGGGGTTTGGGCAGAAATCCAACAAGAATGATGCCAAGCCTCCGTCGCTATCGTGTTTTATCACGCTCGCACTGAACTCTGAACTTTGGCTACGGTAGACGTCTTCCTGCCTCGGCACGCATGGGCGGTTGGGTCATAGCCTCAGGTATGACGGGATCTGCTCTGCCATTGCATGACGGCAAACGAGACGCCTTTCCTTGCCCACCACAAGCTGTGGCCGCCAGGGCTGAGGCGTGATAGGAGGTCCCATTCTCGTTCGCCATTGGGGCCTCAGCGGCAGAAGATGACAGACGAACAGACACCTGTAGCTGTAAGGCAAGGACAACTTCGAGTTCCTTCTTCCAGTTCATGTCCAGTCGCCCAGCCTCGCCGCATTCATCCGCAACTGGATCAAGCGGAATTATCAGGCGGCTGTCAGATCACAGCCAGAGGTTCGATTAAACTCTGTATACTTTCTGGCAAACCAGGGATGAAGCTCCACGCTCATTGCTGCAGCGTGTTTCGCGCACTCTGCTGTAACCCGAGCCAGCGACGGAAGGACCGCTCGCGCCAGAACCTGCTCAGATGCTGCCAGTCACAAAAACCACCAAGTCTAGTCTAGTCAAGCATTGCACACTTGAATCCCAAAACAACTTCCGAGATCCTCCTACGTGCCTTCGCGGCGCTCCGCCGTCGCCGAGCTCGGCCTGGGAAGCGGCGGCGGCGGTGGAGGCGGCGCCTCGGAGCGTCGTGGAGCGACTCGGCGAGTCGGGCAAAGGGGTCCAAGGGCCCAAGCTTCGAAAAACAAAGATTTGGAAAGCAGAGCTTTTTTCCGGTGCGCAGCTTGCGAAGCTGTGCTGCTACGGCATCCCAACTGGCAATGCAGTCGAGCCACGATGCTCGACAGGAAATTGCAAACGAATTTAGGCAGTGTTTCTGGCGCCTACTGACTACTGCAAGCATGGTCCGTGCCCGAACACTTGGAACGCAACCTTTGCTTCCTCTTCGGCGCAGAAGCACTTTGCCAAAGATTGCCACACGGCACCCCAGACGACAGGGCATGAGTAACAGATGGAAAACTTGTTTCTTATTCTGGCCTCAAAATGGACCAGAGTGCCACACCAGCCTGCCTCGGAACATATGCCATCGACGAGCGCCCACAAGTGCTGAAGTGCCGATTAAACTGCATGAAGCTTCGAGACATGATGTTGCGGAGCACGCGTGCAAGTTGGGCACTCCGCAGGCTGGTGCAGGTAGAATCGAAGTATTCGAATCGATAAATGGAAAACAGTCTTGCACAGAATTCCCACTGGCACGAGCCACGAGCAGTCCTGTGAAGCAAAGGCCTTTCGAAGTCTGAGGCCTGCAACTCACAGATTCAGGCTGCAAAATCGACTCCCTCGATGCGGTCCTCGCATTCCTGGTAGACGTCGCGCAGGCGTTGGAGGTTCTCGTCGTCGGTGTCCCAGTAACCCTTGGCATTTGCTTCAAGGAAGGTCTGGACCATGTCCCGCAAGGCATCAGGATTGGCTTCCAGCATCTTGTTTTTGATTTCCTCGTCCTTGATGTAGGTGCTGTTGCAGTCTTCATAGACAAAGTTGTCGACGGCATCAGCCGTGGTGCTCCATCCAAACGTAAAGCGCATTCTCTTGGAGATTTCGCGTACCCCTTCGTAGCCGCCTTTGAGGTTGGCCTCGTAGAACTTTGGGTTCAGGAGCTTGGTGCGGCTGTCCAAGCGCACTTGCGCGGAGAGGGACCGCACCTGTGCATTGGCTGTGGTGGTGTCGGCAATCAAGGCTTCCGGCTTCTTGCCATCCTTGCGTAGGTTTGAGACGACCTTGGTGGGGTCGTTGTCGAAGTAGTGCGATACGTCCGTGAGGGAGATCTCGGAACTGTCGAGGTTTTGGAAGGTGACATCCACTTTGCTCAGCGCCGACTTGAAGAGCCCCGAAGACTCGATGAGCTCGCCAGGCGCATCCGAGCTCAGGGCGAATCCCTTGCGAGTGACGAACTGTTCCTGTAGCTGCTCCTCATCGACGCTCGCTCCGTTCTCCACGGCGATGCCGACGTTCGCAGAGTAGGAGCCGGCTGCATTGGAGAAGACCCTGGTCGCCGCCTGGCGCAGGGAGATGTTCAGCTCCTCGGCCTGCTCCATGGCGTGCTTACGCACGAAGTTCATCTCCGGGGGCTCCTCTGCCTCGGCGGCGGCCTTGATCGCGCGATCAAGCAAGTTCATCTGGTTGATGAAGAGGTCCCGAAAGACCCCCGAGCAGTTGCAGACCACGTCGATCCGGGGCCGTCCCAGCTCCTCTAAAGGAATCAGCTCCACCTTGTTCACTCGCCCAAGCGAGTCCGGAACGGGTCTGCAGCCGACCAAGGCCAGCACCTGGGCCAAAGACTCGCCGTAGGTCTTGATGTTGTCAGTCCCCCACAAGGTAAAAGCGATACTCTCGGGGATCTCCCCTTGCTGCTCCTGAAAGAAATCAAGGCAGCGGCTAAATTAATTTGCGGTGCGGGGCCTTGCAGGGAGGGGTTACACATGCAATCGGGCATCACCTCTTTTTGCCCCCAGTTAGAGTTTCGAAAGTAAGCGCAAGTCCTTCAAGGACTCTAGAAGCCGATCCACAACCACCATCGCCACGTCGCTCGCGGCCTTGGTAGGGATGGAATTGGGGTCCAAGGCATGCATGTTCTTCCCCGTCGGCAAGACGTCAGGATTTCGGATTGGATCGCCACCCGGACCCGGCTCAATGAACTTCCCCTCCAAGGCGTTGATCAGGCTCGGGACCTCGTTGTTGCGCACCACCTCCCCGAGGCAGGCCTGGAGGTACTCAAAGAGCGGCTTCAGCGGCTCCTCTGCCACACCTGAAAAGCCAGATTCATCCAAAGCCTTCTTGTAAGGAGAGCCCCCCGCGAAGAAATTGAACATGTCCTGCACAAAGGTGTTCACTTCTTCAACGCGGCCTTCTGAGTTTGTGGATTGCTGCACCAAAGCCCCGACGGCAGCGCGGCTGGCCAGAGTAATCTCTTGCACCAATGCCACGTCCTCCAGGTTGCCATCGTTGTTGCCTTTGTAGACGGCTTCGATGTCCTTCCCCCTACTCTCGGCGAGGAGCCGTGGAAGGCTCTTGATGCCCATCTCCGGACGATCCAACTGGGCAATGTTCACCAAGGTCGCAATGCTTTCTTCAGCAGTCGGTGGAACGCCAACTTGGTGCAGGCCCATCGGCAGAGCTCGCGACTCGATTTCCATGAGCAAGCGGTACACCTTTCCCACCACTGCGTCTCGCTCATCCAGTGAAACAGCTGCCATATCGTCCTCCTCTGAAGGAAGCTCAATATCTTTGTCCAAGTTGCACTGGCGAGCTGTTGCCACGATACTGTTCACGATGGAAGCACCACGTTGCTCGTTCTCGCGCAGGCCTTGGTACGATTTCACCAATTCACTGAGTTCCTTCAAGCCTTTGTACAAGCCCGCGTTCTCTGCAGGAGGGGTCAAGTACGAGATCGTGGAGGCATAAGAGCGCCGCTTGGCGATGGTGGCCTCTGACGGGTTGTTGGCTGCATAGTAGTACAAATTCGGGAGCACGGAGATCAAGCGGTCGGGATAGCAGCCTCCGGACATGCCCACCTGCTTGCCTGGCATGAACTCCAAGGAACCGTGAGTGCCAAAGTGAAGCAAGGCGTCCGCCTTGAAGATAAACTCAAGGTATGTGTAGAAAGCAGCAAAGCCGTGATGTGGGGATGCCGACTTGGCGAAAAGAAGCCGCATGGGATCACCCTCATAGCCGAAGGTAGGCTGCACACCGAGGAAGATGTTGCCGAAGTGCTTCCCATAGATCAGCATGTCCCGACCATCAGTGTTCAGCTCGCCCGGCGGAGCACCCCAATTCTCACGGAGATCCATGGCGAAGGGACACAACTCCTCGTACTCATCCACACTCATTCGGTAGGCGACATTCAGATCTGACATGGACATGGCTGCCTCAGGGTCTTCCAGTATGGACTTCTGCAAGCCCTCCACACTGTCGGGCATGTCCTCGATCGTGTAGCCCTGCTTCTTCAACTCTCCCATCACCGCGAAGATGCTGCCGAAGACATCCAGGTAGGCGGCCGTGCCCACGTTGCCTTTGTCAGGAGGGAACTGGAAGACGCAAATGCTGAGCTTCTTCTCGGCATTGGGCTTTCTGCGCAAGTTTGCCCAGTTCATGGACCGTGTCGCTAAGGCACCGATCCGATCTTGCATCGGAATAGACCGACCTGTGGTGCCGTCACGGCCGGAAAAGATCAGCGGCTCAATCGCACCGTCGATCTCAGGCAAGGACACCTGCAGGGCGACCTGCACCGGGTGAAGGCCAAGTTGGCTGTTCTGCCATTCTGTGAAGGATTGAAAGACCAACGGGACACTCACCAAGTAGGGTCGATTGAAGCGCATGAGAACCTCCTTAGCTTTCGCGGCATCCTGAGATGCTGGCCCGCCAACAAGGGAGAAGCCCGTTAAGTTCACCAAGGCATCCACGACGCCTTCACCGCTGGGACCTGCAAGGTATTCCTTCGCTGGCACAGAGAAGTCCAAGCCACCGGTGTACGTGCAGGCCACTCGTGCCCCACGCCTTTCCAGCTCCTGCACCATGCCAACGTAGTGGCCGTCATCCTTGGTTGCAATGTGCGACTTTTGCAACACCAGACCAATCATCGGGGAATCCGCCGCGATGCCTGCTGCAGGGCAATGCACTTTCTCGTACCATTCCTTGTACTCAGTCATAGAGTCGAAAATGCTTGGAGCCAGAGGGTGCCAAATTCCCATGTCAGGAAGAACCACTGGATCCATGATGGACTCTGTGTCAATGGAGTCCACAGAGGGCACGTATCCGCCGGCAATGCGCAGCAGCATTGCCTCCAAGTTTTCTGGGGTACCGCCCAGCCAGTGCTGCAGGGACAATACGAAGGTCCTGGCGAGCATTACCAGGCAAAGGCACTCCATATACAGGCTATTGATTACTTGGATAACTTGGATAGATGTAGATGCATGCCAGTGAACATGCAAGCTCGTAGCATGCGCAAACCCGGGTCCTCGCGTCTTTGGCCTGGTCTCCGGGTAGAAACTTCAAAACCTTGGGCAAAGTTCGGACCAATTTCAGCAAGCTGTCCTGAAAGTTTCCACCTGACGCAGGCTTCGTCTTGGCCAGCGACTTCTGGCGCAAGTCTTTCACTTGCTGGGCAAAGTTGCCCAAAGGTCCTCCTGCGATCTGCGTCAGATCGAAGGTGCCCAGCTTGTTTTGCTTCATGACTTCAGGCATGGAGGGGAAACAAAGGCATGCATCAAGCTTTGCACGGCGCGGCTCGACGATCTTCACCAGCTTCTCAGCCAGTTCTTGCACGAAGATTAAGGAGCAGATGAAAATGTTCGCATCGTCCAAGTCCTTGGCGAGTTCCTCCTCACTCGCGGCATCTCGGACTTCTTCAAGCAGGTAACCGACGCACTCCATGCAGACAGGGCCCGGGGATTTGTTGATTTGGCGGATGGCCGCCGTCATCGCAGACTGGTACTGCGACTCGAGAACCACATAGACCACCTTCACACAGGCACGTCCCTCACGCTGCTTATCGGTGGGGACTACACGGCGAGCGGCAACGTTCGACTGAGTGTAGCCACCAAATCCGCCGGACATGCCCGCCATCATGTCGTCTTCCCCATCCGGAGCTGTCAGGGTTTGGACATCGGCGGTGGCCACTCGCCGCCCGGTGTGAGAGCGTTTGGAGCGAGATCGGGAGGCCCCCAAGGCCACGCCCAGCAGCGCCGCCGCGCCGGCCGTTCGGAGCTCTGGCTCCCTCACTTCACTCTTCGCAAAGCTCGTCGGGCTGCCTTTGGGAGGCGCAGCCCTCAACGTGGCCTCACCGGGTGAGACGAAAGCAACCTGGGCAGACATCCGCACAATGAAGGCAGCTGCGCTGAGCGTGTCAAAACTGGACTCGAGCCGACTGGGCAAAGCGAGATCAAGCAGCATGCTGCCGGGCAAAGTTGCTAGCATTGCATCCGTACCGCAACCTAGCGGGGCTTGCAAGGCTGAGCTCTCGGCGGCTGGTACCTTCTTCCGGAGGATGCTATGTAGGCCTGAAGCCTTGTCAGATGTGTTTAGTTCTCCTTGTTGCCATTGCTGCTTCTGACACGAAGAGCTTGCAGCGCTTTTCTGTTGGTATTTCACGTGGAGCTTTCAATTGTCCAAGTCGAGTCTCTAGGGGAATGACGGCGCGGCCTTCGCTTCAACAAGCAGTCACTCTGTATTCTACATGTGTATATTGTTTTGCCTGTGGCATGGCTGAATGATCGCGAAGAAAGTGTATGTATACATATATATATATATATATACATACATGTATCCATTCTATGTAATCTATATCATAAACTAGACACTGTTGATACTATACTTTCGGACAGAGACTGACTCAACGAGCGACGGAAATGCTTGCATGAAAAGTCAGGATGTCAGGATAGCACAGTAATCCGGACCAGTCACGTCACTACTGGACACATGCCTGTGCATCTGAAAGTAAAGAAATACATCACAAACCCGAGCCCTTTTCCTAGGTCCTAGGCCTCCGGGATGACGCCGCCGACCTTCAGGTTGTGGCGATCTGCGCCACTGGGCTTCTCCTCACAAGCCGGGTCCACAGGCAGAACACAGCGCATTGGGGGGCTTCGCCCACTTCTTTTTACAGCTAGCACCCATGCAACATTCACGATGTCATTACGTCGACGACCAGTGCATACAGCAACCTCTATCCGAGACGAGTAAATCCCTTCCGGTGGCCGGGTGGGTGTCGACAATGGGTGGATTTTGTCGTCTTCAACTCTTCGGTGCATGCCATGTACTGCAGAGATGCGGGGCCCTGACAAGCCGCGATCTGTCGTGGCTTTCCTGTCACTGGGAACACATCAAAACGTGCAGAGACTTGGGCCGTGCGAGACGGCTGTCCTGGTCCAGCCAAACCAACCGTCGCGGCCTCAATCATAGCATCGCAGAGGGTTTTGGGATTTAGGCACCGGTCTTGGTCACATACTGTAATGAATGCGGTGCATACAATTTATCGCTTTCGCATGGCGATAGCGTCAAGTGGGGCCGGGATAGAGGATGTCTCTTGATTCTCTTGCATCTTGGGGCCACACAGCTGTCTTTCGAGCCCAGAGTGCAACTCTGCAAGTGGCCCCATCCTTAGCCATGGTGAGCCAGGGTCCAGAGTGTCGACTCATGATCTTCACATCGACAAGCATCCCGTGGCGATGCATGGAAGATCTCTGCCGATACAGCTTGTACGATGATTGCCACTACGTGCTAACACGTTGAGGCCGTAGGGCCCCCACTGACCGTTCAGATAGGTGTTTCGGAGGAGTAAGTCCTGGACGTGCAGCATCCCAGGTCACTCCGGGCATGCTCTTGCGACGGCAGATTGCACGGCAATGGCCTCTGCCTCCAAACAGCTGAAATCTGCTTCGGACCAGCCTGTGCCTCGTCCGAGGAGCCAGATGCAGCATTGGGGTCCGCGTGCGTGTCAGCCAGCACTGAGGCTCCCACTCAGACCCTGCTTGGACCTGCTCTTAACGACCCTCTGCTCTGACCACGAGCTACGAAGCGTCCGGCGCGCAACAGCGACTAGCAAGAAGCTGGAAAAGGTTCAAGAGTGCAGGGTTAGCTGCTGCTCTGAATAAGACTCACCCAACTTCTGGGTACGGCTAGAGCAGCCCTTGATAAGGAAAGGATTTCCTTGTCCTTGTCTGGTGCCGAAGAGCTTCAACCCAACAAGCAGCGCACCCGAGCTTCTCCGCCAGGCGTCGCTCGAGCGATGACAGCTGCCTCGGCAGGAGTTCAGAGTTCTCAGAACTCGTTCTGCCTTTGCGTGCCGTCAGCGATGGACTCGGAGCTGCCCAAATGAGATGATTCCCCAAACAGGGCTAATCAGGGTTAAGGTTTCCCTCTCTGCTGACACTTCGTAAGCCTTCCTAAACGAGCAGGTCTCCCGGATTCTCTCGGCCACCGGCTGCATGAACGTAGTTTTCAAGTTCATGTCAGGCCTGTTCGCACTTCCAGCTTTTCCCCAAAACACTGTGCCCAAAATTTGGGCCCCCTAAAACATCACGTGTCTGCGCAAGGGCCGGCTACTCTTTCTCCAACCTCCGGAAGCTCAAGAACTCCATGGTCTTGCGGAGCCCCCAACCTCCGCGCACAGATACAGGCATAGATAGGTATAGGTATAGATAGGCTTCGGTACAGGTACAACAAGTACAGGTACAGGTACTGGCGCAGGTACAGGTACAGCTACAGGTATGGGTATTGGTACAGGCAGGTATAGGTACAGTTACAGGTACATGTATGTTCGTATATCATATAGAGTTTATAATCAGTATACTGCGATTTACTGTATCAAATAATGCACTGTATCAAACACAGCATAGTACGGGGTATATGACATATGGTATCTAAGGGCCCTCTCTCGGGATCGGGCTGTATTTTCTCATCATGTAAGCTCCCAGGATACAGCAGGATCTAGACTGCCCCCGCACGGAGTGGATGAGTACCTGGCACGGAAGAGTCTCAGAGGCCCACTGGTCGCTTCCAGCTGTGGTCCGCCAAAAAAAAGAAGACAAAAGGGCGCACACTCTCGGCTGCATTCAAGGCCTCCTCTATGAAACGAAATGACTCGGATCTGGGCGCAGGGAGAAATCGTTCTGGCGGAACTCGAGTGGATCGGCTTAACTACACAGAAAGTTGCACGCCGTCCGCCGGCTTAGTGGCCGACGACACGACATCGCGGGGATCCAGCACCACCTGCATGTGGCGGTTGCCAGCGTAGCCACGAAACGCGCACTTATCAGGGCCCAAACTTGCCTGGCTCTCTGCATCCACCCAGTAGTAAGTTAGGTATACAACGCCGATCGACCTCAGATGCAATGCAGTGTCATGCCCGCGGGAGTTCGACATTCCTTGCTAACAGGAAACCATTGTCAGGTAGCAACAGCTGAAGTAGGCCCACGGCTCCCAGTGATTTGGTACCTGTCTCCCGGCGCAGTTGATGACCCTGGTCACCTTCCACTGTCCACTCGCATTCCTAAAGAGGTGCACCATGCTCGCATTATGCATGTCCACCTGTTTCAATCACAGGTCGGTATCAGTACAGTACAGGCATAGGCAAGTGGAAAACGCCAGTGTTCAAGCTCACGCAAGCTGGATGCCTTGTTGGAAACGACGAACTCCAAGTCCTCGAAGTGTCGTCGCGATTGTCGTTGAGCACAGATCCGATGCAAGCCATCCGTCCCAACAACGCAACCCCTTGTTTTCTTTGGATGCGACGCACATCGTGAGAGTTTATCGAAGCCGTGTGCAAAACTCTTCGTCAAGAGTTGGTCTCTGTGATTATATCATTGAAGTTTTGGCCACGGCTCCACTGGTGAGATCTTGGAACAGCGGTCAGGCAAAAGCCCTAGCGCTTCTGAGCTTCGGTGCGGCTTAGTCATAGTCTTGGAAAGGCGAGGGCATGGGTCATGACAGCAAGCAAGTGCTAACCCCACACCTCACATCCCTATACCCCCCCCCCCCTACGCTTTTGCCTCAATTCTCAACCCGCCTCCCAAAATCAACCCTTAAATCCCTCAAAACACAAAGCGTGGACGAACTCGCCGTTGTCCTCGTTTCCGAGTTCAGGGTTATTGTCTTTTGTTTTTTCTATGAGGGTCTTACCCCACACCTCATATAAGGATATGGGTTATTTTATGGTTGAGGGTAGGATTTGTTTAGGTGCTTTGGGTTTTGGATCGTGTTATGGATTGTTGTATTTGTTGGTGGGTTGCTTTGTTTTGGGATTATTGCTTTTGTGTTTTGGAAGGTTGATTTTGGGAGGCGGTTTGAGAAACGGGGTGAAAGCGTAGGGGGGGTATAGGGATATGAGGTGTGGGGTTAGCACCTGCTTGCTATAACTTCGTCTCTGCTGGTCTCTGCCTACTACTTCTGCCTTCTGCTGTGTCAGAGCTGGCAACCGCCGCTGTTGCTGGGAGGCGGGCTCCTCGGTCTGATGCATGAGCAAAAGACTGCGAGGTTTGGTAGGCAAGGGTCTACAATCTCAACGCTCCAAACCACGTGCCAACGTTTGCTTGCATGTGCTGAGCGGCATCGAAGGTCTGAACGCCTCAGCCAGGCGGTGGAAAAAGAAAACCGTGGCCCTGTTTCTGTACGGCAGTTCTTTGGTCTCGGCTCTGCGAGAAAACGTTTCGCTTCAACCCAAGCTGCTCCGCCGCCACTGCCGGCCACGCTGCCGGCTGGCTGTCTCGCAGACCCAAGGAGCGCTGCGAGGCCTTGATGGAAGCAGACCAACGACGTGTTCCACTTCACCAGGACACCAAGAGGGACGGGATCGGTGAGAGACGTTGATTATTTGTTGCAGTTGTTGCCAGGTCCTAGGATGTCCGACTGGGAAGTGTAGCCGAGGCTCTGCCGCCTGGCGGAGGCGGCCCGTTGCTGTTGCCGAAGGCTGCCTGGAGCTGAAGCCCTTCGTCAACTTCGTCCAGGTGCTTAACAGCTGTTACCGACCATACCATACCTGCTTGCGATAATGCTCTCTATACCGAAGTTGACTCTTGTTTCCGTTGCTGAGCGCATCTGAAGGGCATGTTCAGAAACGGTAAAGTGTACTGTCCTGCCTGTTTCATCCGTCAACACACGCGACTCCAGGTGTTCGCCAAAGCTCAAGTATGCAGCCCTGACGTACTAGCCAACATGCTGAACAACAGAAGCAGCTGTTCCAACCCAGTCGGACATGTGGCTGTCTGCAAGATCCAGTGCGCCTGATCGGCGAAATCTGTGCCCGTGAAGCTCCTCACCGGCCGCTGGGCGATCGGAAGCGCCTCCTGCCGAGTGAAAGCTCAAATTTCCACCAAAGCCTCACATCAACACAGTGATCCGGTGCTCTGGGCGTACCGTCGGGTGACGTGGTGTTCAATATGCTGCATCGCGATCTCCCTTGTTAAGGAAGAACGACGGCTCTGCTGCGCCTTCGCCTCTCCGTACGGTGAGTAGCTGAAGCCATGCGTTCGCGGCATCGCCCCAGGTGGCATTGCCTGGCCAGGAAAACGAGCAGACACACCCCACCAAAACGCATATAACGCATAAAACCACCTGCAGCTCATCGACGCCCTTGGTCATTCCCTTGGCCCCTTTCGGGGGATCCTCGGCTTGCTGGATTTGGGGTATGGGCAGGCCATAGAGCCACCCATGCCGTGCACGCCGAGCCACGGAATAGCGGACGATGAGCCTTGCAAGATGCTGCACGGAGCCCAAAGAGCGCAGGAGCCGAAAACCCCGTGAGGCGGCCGAGCAGCTGCAGGTTGGGTGCTGTCTCCTGGCCGTTCAGTCTGTCGAAACCTCGGATGACTGCCGAGACCCTTGCTCTTTGCCTGCATGAGATCGACGGCTTGTACAGGCCATGGTGGCGAGCCGACCCTCTGAGGATACCACACCACACTGCCTCATCAAGAGTGTTCATGCGCACCAGGGCAACCGTATCGCCTTGCGTGAGCACGCAACAGAGCGCTCAGTCTTCTCATGCAGTGAGCGCTCCACCCTTCTTTCCATTGGTGTCCAGCACCTTGACCTCAAGTTTCAAGCCGAAGCATGTCGCATTGGACCAAAATCGATGCACAGACTCTGCATGGCACTCCAGCTATGTGCAGGCCGGGAGCAAAGGCAACCCCAGCAAATTGACCGAAGAACGCCGTGATGGTTTCCTGGAAGGCAGTGAATCCAGTGAATCCAAGACTTCGAAAGAACTCTCAGTCTGCAATGATTTGATTGGCCCGTTGGCCTCGGCAGCGACGTAATCATCTTATGACTTACTTGATCTTACACTTGGGTGTTGCGGAACAGTAGAACACTCAGGCTGATCAAGGCTGTTATGGTTTCCTGACGGCTTTCTCTGACGATGTAATGGATCCGGGCCACTGTGGTGCTCCCCGGCGGAAGGCCCATCACAAACAAGCTCTCTGTCGGGACATTCCTGAGATGCAGCTCTCCAGCCCGATGACAGCGCCACCGGGGTGCGTTGTGCTACACAACCCGTCGAGCCGCTGTCTCTCGAGCATGTTCTTGACCTCCCCCTGTGGAATCAACAAAGGCACGCTGAAGACGTCGCACAGACTCGCTCATGGCTTCTGCCTTCGCAGCAGTACTGGACGACAGGAGGGTCCGGATCGTCAGCCCCTTCTGTATGCTGCCATCCGTTTGTCGTATTGCCTCAGTGCGACATGTCTCTCCTTGGCTCGTCGAAGACTCTGCCATGGCTTCTAAAGAGCATGCTGCGCTTCTTCCGGGTATCTGAACCTCGCCAAAGCGTATCCTCGGGAGAGGCAGGCCATGGCTGGAAAACCCGCCACCAAAGGGAGTGGGGGCCTTGGCCGTCCATCTTCCCTTCACAGCAGACCTCCGCAGCTTTCGGTCTCAGGTACAGGACTTCCCCCAGTTGCCCTGCCTTTATCATGGTGATCCTCCCCATGTCTTTAAACATCTGCCGAATCGACTCCTGCGCAGAACATGGCCAACCTTGGCATGCCTGGGCGAGGAGAACACAGCTGGGTCCTCATCGGTGTCACGTGGAAGGCCGGTGATTAGGACCTCACCTGGACAACAAGCACCGGGAAGGCAACGGAGTGCTCCTCCTTCGATACTAATTTGACCGACAACGTCATGAACATCCGAGCAGCTCTGATCCGCGGGGATGTTCCAAGGATCCAGCTTGCCTTTACCCTGCATCGAGAAACGCAGGGACATCCTCACACCTGCCATAAGACGGCACATGGCGTGCACACGCTGCCTTACCACCGTCCGACTGATGTGGGCCGCGATCATTGTCCGCAAGCTTCACCTCAACACTAGAACGACTTCAAACATGCCCGCAAGGCAACATCCCCTACATCCGAGGCTGCTGCTGATATCACTGCCCCACCTACGTCATACCTGCAAAAGCAAAGCAGCAAAACCCCAACTCAGACTCGAGTCTCAGTCTCAATGCCAGAATCCTTCGAGTTCCGGAGTTTCCGGTTCTCGCTTCACTACCGCGGTAGCACGATCGCAAGGAGCCGAGCAGCGACAAACCGGAGCATGACTGGGCACTGCATCTTAGCATGAAGCGGCTCTGAGGCTCCGTCTCATTCAGAGATTTGATCGCTGCGGCGGCATGGGAAGGATCGCCGTACCTTTGATACATGGATTGGTGGCAATTTAGACTCGCGGAACATGCCGGCGTCATGCCATCCATGAAACGTCTCCAGTTGCAACTATGTCAACTGTGGAAATGCTGCTGTATATGGAACCGCGGCGAGTTGTCGCTGTGAGCTTCCATACATGCATTCGTTTGCCGCGGCGTGGCTTGACGAAGGCATACCCGAAGCCACCCGTTCTGCGAGATGGACAGACCTCAAGTATCCCAGCAAACCCTGCTGAACATTGTTGCATACAATATCTGCTGAGCTCGGGACTCTGGAAGACCAGATTCTCCCGAAGCGCTCGAAAAGCTGGAAAAGGTGGGCATCATTAAAGCCTCCAGGAGCATTGCCGAGTTTCCCAGCACCACTTCAGTACTGGTGCGAGCCTGGCGGAAGGCCAGAAACATAAAGATTCCTTGGTGGTGCGTCGCAAAACTGACAATGCTTTGCAAGTTGGGTCAACCCGTGAAGCTAGTGGTGTGCCGGTCGCAGCAGCAGCCCTTTCGCGGATGCAGTCTTGGCTCGTCCCTGCCATCGACATCCCGTCAAGGGAGCTGGATGCCTGCTTGGAGGTTCATGGGTAGTTATGAGTGGGGTTAGAAGCAAGGTAACATAAGGTAACAGTTCTTATAACCCTTATTAGGGGACTTATATCCCCACTTATAACTACCCATGGCCCATGACCCTCCAAGTGCGATGGAACGGACGCCACAACCGGGCGTGGAGCAAGCATGGCTCCTCCGGTCCGGCCTCGGAACCGCACACCTCGCCGAGTCATCGCAGCGGGCGACATCAGCGGCAAGCGCGGCTTCAGCTCCCAAACGCTGCGACACAGAAAGGAATCGCAGTCTTCACTCTTCCCTTCGGCGAAAGATGACAGCTACCGGTCAGGCGTGCGGCGCTTAGACCGCGCTGCATTATGCTTCAGGCTGCAAGACGGGGGACAACCGATGCAGTAGCCAGAGCTGCAGACAACAGAGGCTTTCGTACTACCCTGACGTCCTGGGCTGCCAGGGCATCACCAATGAAGAGCCCGTCCTGCCCACGGTTGCGAAAGCATGGCGGCATGGCACAGAAGGGCAGGCCAAACAAAGCACAGCAACGCGGTGTGTCGAGCTCCATCTCACACCACAGGTGCAAGAACCCACAGTCAGTGCCTTGACCTTGACCGCTCCAAGAATCTCGTAGCCTCATCTATCACGCTCACGCAGTGTCACGCTTGATGATGCTATGCCACACTCAGGCCACAGCCGAGACCAGCACCAGACATCTGCAGGCATCTGGGCCTTCAGGAGCTGGGCCCTCGGTAACTGCAAAGGCACTGGAGGACTTCTGCAAATCTTCGAACTGACTTGACCAGGCACGGACGTCACTGCTCCGCGTCTGTGCGACTGGCGCTTCGAGTCTACGGCTCTGGCTGCAGAACACGAGCTAGGTGCTAAACTCAGTCTAAGACGATGTGCTCTGTGTGCTCTGGCTCTTGAGAGTGGCACCAAGGCCAATGGACTGCTAGGCTGTGGGTGTCTCAGGGATGCTGGGTCCGCTAGATGTGACAAGGCTTGCGCGGCGGGTGGCTGCAGGGATTGCTTTGTGGCGGTTGGCTCTGTCTGCAAATCTCAATTTGAGCATCGGTGGTTATCTGGCAAACACTTCCGGTTTGCTCGGAGATCCTAACTTTACAGGCGAGGTTTTTCTTCACCTGTGGCTCGGAGCCAAGATGTGGAACGTAGTGGATTGAAGCCTGTTGCAACCAGTGCTCTTGAAAGACTCTTCTGAATGTGTTGGCAGGCAAACGAGCCGTCCAAAGCGTTTTGGGCACTCGGTCATGGAAAACGATAAGCGCAACCGGTCGCGCAGACAAGAATGTTGGAGGTCCCTTGCCCGGCCGAGTAGTACTTCTGGGCTCTGGCAACACGGAGTCGGCTTACTTGCTGCAAGGGTGCTACGCTGCGCTGCTACCTCTCTTGCTTGTGCTAGTTAGTTGTAGCTATAGGTGGCAGGATGCGGGTCAAGGCTCCAGCGAAGCCAGAACCGGAAAGCTTACCAGTCCCCGCTCAGTTTTTGCCCAGGGGAGGCCACGCTAGACCTCAGCCACAAGCACATAATCCGCCCCGGCCCCTTACCCATGTCAGCACCCTTGGCGAGAGGCATTCTATACGCTTCACCGCTAGAACATCACCACTTGATTCACAACTTCCTCCGGCCAGCCGAGGCGGACGACACGGATCCATCTACAAATACCCTTTCGGCTCCGCTTCTTTTTCCGCCTCTCGGCCTTATTCGTGCTCATGGGCCGACTTGCCAGCGCGAACGGCTGCCCCCACTTTGCTCTCTGCGGTTCCGTCTGCATAGCGTTTGTAAGTGTCCTCAGTCAGGGAGCAAACTTCCTTCACTGGCAGCTACAGTACCGCTTCTCTGCTGATTCATGTTTCCGTGAAGAACGAGGAAGAGCACCCAAGTTTGCCCGAGCGTCCACCAACCTCTCTGGGTCAGGCAAGGTTTCCTTCACCGCAGGCAGCGCCAAACACGCGTCCAGCCAGGTCTGCAAAGGAGCAAAGGCTACACGATCGTAGGCGAAGCTTGCGTCTCGATAGCGCTCGATGATGCCACATGTGAAGATGCCTGATGTGGGCAAGACGCGACATGCTTTTTGTGCCTCCTGCTGACATGCAGAGTTTGAGACCTCTGGCAAAAGGTTCGCGCTGAGGCTCAAGCGATAGCACCAAGGTAAAGCAGCAACGTCGACTATAGAGAGGTCCTGACCTGAAGGCGCACAATGCGGACAAAATCTCTCCCGTCCTGCAAGGTTTGTATGGGCTTCCAGCCGAAGAAGAAGGGACCCCGGAGATTCTCCTGCTACGGATGGGACGAAACGACCAAAAGTCAAACCGACTCAGCTTGCTCTCAGGTGGCGATGCACCATCTTCATCCTGCGACTTCGCTTGTGTTCGCTCTTGTGCAAGCAAGCAAGCAAAAGGCTGGGTGAAGCACCTTCAATCTCGTCATCGTCCTCATTATGCCCCTGCTCCCTCTCGTCTCTGAGATATAATCGTCACATTGTCGATCACCGCCATTATCACCACACAGTCATCAACACCACCATGACCATCACCACCACCACCAGCAGCATCATCATGATCATCACCATCATCATCAGGAGCAGCGGCCGTAGAAGCATGATCTTCATGCATGCTAAATACATGAGAACTAGATTTGAAGCAAACGCCAAACATATGTGACATAGTTCGACACATTGACATAGAAGTTGACGAAATCCATGTCGTTTACACTCGCTTGAAACTTTGGAGTCCTGTACACCGCCCCCTGATTCCGGAGACATCAGGGTTTCCTCGCTACAAGATGAACAAATGCATGAGAAATTCAAGTATAATCGGCGCATCGTGACACTGATTTACGGCTACAAGTATACGACCAAGCTGCTCCTGTAAAGCTACTTTACATGTTCACACTTCTATTTTGCCAATTCTCTGCACGAGTCACTGGCTTGCCGGGACCTACAATGCTGTGCACGCTTCTTTCAGAAGTGTACTTTATTAAAACAATCTTTACACTTCGGCAATTCGTCTTCATAGTGTTTTGCAAGCAAGCGATTCGGAGGATTTCCAGCCTTAACAGAACAGCCGCTTCTGCACGGCCAGCCACCGCATAGATTTAATCCTTGTCAGCATCATCCTACTCATTGTGCCCGTCACCGACGCCATGATGATGAACAGGGCCTTTGACACGGATTTCCACGTGCTCCTCTCTCCGTGACGGCACTGTGCGTTCGGATATTCTGGCAAGCAATTTGCGAGAAGGACTTGCCTAACATGCATTCCGCTTGCGAGGCAGCAGTGGTTTTTGTTGCATGAGTCTGTAGGCATGCCGCCCCCGTCCAACCCAGAGTTCATGTCAGGACCGGAAGGCCACTTAAGAAATCCGTTGCACGTGGATACCGAGTTCCAGGAATCATCACTGCATACTGCATACTGTCACCAAACTATCAGGGAAGCACATTGCATGTTATAAAACACTTGCTCTCTCTCTCTCTCTCTCTCTCTTCTGCCCTGTCTCTCTCTCTGTTGGACTCTGCTGCAACATGAGGCGGAATTGCACGGAGAAGCTTCTGAAGCTCTCACTGCAACTGCAACAAGGTTCGCAGATGCGGCGATGCCTGAAACTTCTGCAAGGCCGCTATGAGCTTCGCGTGGCCCTCCCTTCGCCTCTCCAAGTCTGTCGGCACCAGCACGGCATAGAAACTCGAGCCTTAATTCCATGTGGCCCTCGCTCTTAGACTCACATCTTCTCACTGTAAGGATGCTACATCTTCTTACTGTAAGGATGTGCGGGAAAAAGCTGCTCTTGCTCTTAGGCTCTAGCTTCTCACTGTAAGCATGCATATTTTAAACGCCCTAAAGCCTAAACCCCAAACCCTAAAGCCCTAAACCCTAAACCGTGCTGAGCTGCTGATGTTCTTGTCTGCCCAACTCGCCCAAATCCGGGCCCTGGCTCGAAGCACCGGATCCTCCGGAAGAAGAGGTCGGCTCAGGCTTTTCCTGGGTTCTTCTTGAGGGACTATTTTTCAAGTTACCATAATAAGGAAACCATACTGTTTAGCATAAACTCCGATTATTTACTCTCTCTCTCTCTCTCTCTCTCTCTCTCTCTCTCTCTCCGCCTATTAGTTACGAATAGTTACGAAAAAACCCTATTCTGACAATTATGGAAACTCACATTAAATCCCTTAACACACTGACCCAGTTGCTTCCCCGCAAGGTCGTCAGCAAACTCCACGCAGGTGAGGGACTCGTAAACAGCCGGCTGCGACTCGTCTGCGCGCACCTACCAAGATCTTTCGGAGCAAGAGAAGACAGAAGCCCCACACACAGAGGTTGGCGCAGAGGTACGTGAAAAGGCAGAGGCTAAGGTCCCGACAATGGTGGGGACCAGGCCAGAGGGGTGGTGCTTCAGAAGCAGCGGATGCTTCTCATAACCTTTGGCATCCTGGACTCAAGGCAGAAGCCTACATGGCCCTAACAGGGGGCCCGTGGGTTCATGCGATCCTTCAGCGTTTGCCCCGGCTCCAGTTTCAGGGTCAGTGCCTCCACGTACTCCTCGGATGAGGCTCTCTGTGACCCGGCTCCAAGCATGCATGGCTGGGCCTAGGCCCCATTGTGTTTCTCTGCCACGACACGTACGGAATCTTGTGATGGTTCAGCGCAATCCATGCTCGCTGCCTGAAATTCCGGTCTGCATCATGTATAGACGGTAGACAGGGGCAGACATCTCCGAAAAACATGCTTGATGCCGGCAGGAGGCGCATACGGGCAAAACCATGCACAGAGAAACTTCCATGCGGGATCTTCCTTTCGCTGGCGCTTGTTCGCGATCTCGTCCTCTTCCATGCCGAGACGCGGCAACAACACAAATCTCGTCCGTGCCGGCTGAGCGAGGGGGCGCCAAATTCCGCGCATTAAATCGAGATCCGAGGCTGCTCTTGAGCCGTCCGGCGTTCAGGCCCATGGAGCACCGAGCTGGACTTGCTGCAGCCTGAGCGCGGCACGAACATCGTCGTGCATCGACGACGGCAGCCACTTAAGATAGCCTCTGTGCGCAAAGGTAATTGAAATACTCTTGCGGGCATTCCAGCCGGGTTGGCCTTCTAGAAGGAATCGCCGGTCGCTCCTTCGTCTTGGAAGCGGCTCTCCAACCCCGGGCGGCACTCTGCTCACTCTGCTCTGCTCCTCCACTTCGCAATGAGTTGGCGACGCGACCCCACCTGCGGCTGTGGATGGCTGCGGATGTCTTTGACAGCATTCCCATCTCTGACTCGGTCAGGCACCCGAAACTGCCAGAGCGGGCTCACCTGGGAATGCTGTGCTCGATCGTGAACGATTCTGTTGAAAGTCTGCCGGTAAGGCATTGACCACAGCCGACACTCTCGGATTGGTCGGGGCCTCAGACAGCGCAGAACTTGTCGAAGCGGAAAGTGGCAGCCGAAGCTAGGACCCCAGCATGTAAAAGCAAGGAAGGGCGCGCCAGCAGCTTGTCCTCCACGACTCCACCACTTATTTTCGGTTTCTGGATGCTGCGTACTGCACACGACTTGCTCCCGGAGCGCCTGAGATGGCAGACCCCGGACCACCGCACCTTCCAGCAGCGCCTCGGTTCTGACATCACCCCGGCTGCCGCAAACAAGGTGCTGAAAGCTCAGAAGGGAGCCTTGGCAAAAACCTACAGAGGACATCGTCTCAGCCACACCGTGTGCGACAGCTACGCGCACATACGCGCACTGTAGCTGCCTTGTAGCGAAAGTTCGACTCGGACGGCACGTCCACCTGCCCGAAACAAGCCGCAATGCCAACTGGCTCTGGTATCACTGGCCTTTGATTCTGGCCTCCACTGTTGGCAGCGAGTACGCCAGTGGAGCATACAACCTCTGCGATTCCACGAAAGTTGGCAAGAGGAGGTATTGCGACGGTCCAGGAGTGTCTTCCAATGTTCGAGGATCTATGCATAGCTTATGTCCTGAAAGCTTACAGGTTGACCTTGGAGAGACATAGCTGCTATGCTGACAAACTAACGAGCATCCACGGCATCCATAGCCTTGTAGCAAGTGCCAAGCTTGCGCGGCTTGAGACTGCTGTCTTGTCAAGCAAGGACAGTCTGTTGGACGCATGTGCCCTCCTCTCTTCGGTCAGTCTTCTTCGTACGGCAGTCTTGAGACAGGGGCGGGCTGGCAAAAGCAAGCACTTTGTCCTGCAAGGATGTGACTTTGAAGCTTTGCTAAAATTCCGACACCGGCCGCAGTGTGCACAGTCCTGCTCTGACAGGTATCGAGGTCCCGGAACGGGGAGGAACCTGAAGAGCCGGGCCGCTAGCCAGCAGCGCACCCACAGTGCACCCTAAACCCAAATCTCTTCTGGGCTTCGCGCTCTCCGAGCTGCAACAAAGGGCAGCCCCCGGCAGCGGCGCGCTGGAGGTCAAAACGCGCGTGTCAAGTGCACTGCAGGAATTAGCAATCGTTTCCCCGAACCCTCGCGCAACAAGACTGGCTTGTCATCACACCGTGAGAAGTCCTAGCACTTCAAACATGCGGAGCCCGAAATCCACCGAAGCTAGCAGCCGCAGCGGCCTTCGCCAGCTGCAACGGATCCACCGTGACGCAGTCCCTGCGTGGCCCCCGAGGACTCAACTGAACTTGTGTAAACCATCTGCCCTACAAGCTGCAGAGCAATGGCACACTCGACCGGTACAACTGCAAACTAACAGACAACGCAGAGGCCCTAGACAATGCCAAACCCAGGACACTGCTGCTTGCGGATCTTAGCCATCTTAGCCGTTTGATTCTCGTGCCCATCGTGCCTCATGAAGTGTTTGTGGGTGGATATGATTTCCTTAGCGGCCAGCTTGCACCAGGCTCGTTAGCATGCACATGCGTGCGTGGAGAGCATCCAAGAGTCGTTGAAGACCAACACGGAAGGGTGGGGCCTGCACATGTACTGCTGCTAGGCTGGTGCAGAAGACGGCAAGGTCAGGTGCCTGTGTCTGAAAGCATTGGACGATGTGTGGATGAAGACGGGATGCTCCCGACCCAGATCTGCACAAATGTATGCGCGGTTGCCTCGACGGCTCGGCTGATGATAGCTGGCACAACGAAGGACCGGAGGACCGCACCTAGATCGGGACAGGCGACGGCGACCCGGTCCAGCAAGCCCTCGACGATGCACTCGCCTCAGTCCAAGGTCCATGTGCGCCAAGGCTGCCAAGGTCCCAAGTGCCCGACGAAGGAGCAAGGCCTGCAAAGGAAAGCACGGCAAGTTGCACCTGCGCGATCCCTGCACGCCTGTGGTGCGTTGGGTGGCTTTGGAAGAAGCGGCAGGTGCAACTCCAGGTCCGTTTCCCTCGGAGCAGTCTGTGACCGCGGGTTCATGCAAGTCTGCTGGCGAAGATCTCGGATAGAGAAGTAGGTCCGGAAGCCCTTTATGTGGCATTGCTACAGCTGAGCTCCGACCTGGGCTTGCGGGAAGTCACTGCTCAGCTCAGGCACCGACGCTAAGCTGAGCCTGCGCCTCACATCGCAAGTTTGGACCCTGGACGAAGTGGGCATTGGCTGGGCTTCGAGCTGCAGCAACTCCGCTAGCTGCTGCATGAGACTGTGGGCCTCCAAAAACAGTTGCCGGGTGGAGATTTGAAGCATAAGAGCACTAGCGATCTTCATGGACGCCTCAGCCATTTGACGAGGGTTGATCTTGTTCTGCTGGCAGAACGACTCAGCAGCCTCAGTTCCCACAGCTCCAGTGACTCCAATCCATCTCCGGACACAACGACGTCCTTAGCACAAGGCAGTCTCTCCACCTCTGGCAGCCCAGGCATAGCCACCTATCGTAAGGCGATCGCAAAGAGTCCATCTTGTGGTGCCACCGGCAAACTCTCAGTCCATGGCCCATCAGCCACAGCAGGCCCTCTGCGTCATCTCGCAGCTGGCTCCTCAAGCCGAGTTTCAAGTCGATTGGTGTTTAGGAAACAGCGAGCCAAAGGGAGATGAGGTGAGGTGAGGCGAGGTGAAAGGCTCGTGTGCGTGAGCGACCTGGGCAGGAGCCCGGCCTGACAAAGCCTATAAGGCACGGAGCCTAAAAGAAAGAGGGAAAATAAACGACAACACGGACATACCACCATGCTGGTGCAAAGCAGGTTGATTCGAGCACAAACGACGCAACGAAGAAGTTGAATGCAAAGCACGAGGATATCGCCACAGTGACAACACGCCGACACACTTTTGACACTGTCGCGACATTGGCAAATCTTCAGGTGGCCGTCGCAAGCAACTTGTCCTTAGTGCCGCCCCGGGATTCCTGTCCACGAACCAGGAAACCAGCAGAAGGAGAACACCGCCCAAGGGTCCCAGGGGCGAGAGCAAAAAGAGCGTACCGATGCTCTGTGCAGTGGGGCGCTGCCGAGGGTGCGCAGCGCATGCTACGAGTATGACTCAGGCAAGGGCCACTTTGGGGCCTGCTTTTTCGTAGCCTCGTCCAGTCTCCGCTGTGCCTGCGAAGATGCACCTACTTCCATCCAACGAAACCGTCAAGTGGAGGCTTTGAATCCTCAAGCTCTGCTCATGTCTTTTTGCCGGAAGCCAAAGCTGCCACGCCAAGGTCTGCAGGCATCATCACTTCGGCACATCGGATGCACATCAGTGGCCTTGGCACTCAGGGCTTGAAACGATGAAACAAGTCGCCGGAGCTCGATACACCATGGCAGCATGGAAGACACAACACTTCACCGAGAGTCTCTGCTTCTTGCGCCTTGCAGCCGCCGCCCGGTGACCTCGCCAAGCTGCCTGGGATGGCGGGCGGGCACCCGTGAATGCACGGCGGCATCTCAAGACTGCTTTGCTGCTGCATACTGCATGCAACACTCCGGCATGGCGTCCGACTTTGCGTCCAGAGGCCGCGCGTGCTGAGACAGCAGCTGGCGGTGTGAAACAACCTTGAACTGCCCAACCTTAAAGGCAAGCAGAGTAATCGAAAGGGCCTGGCCCATGATATCATTAGCTCCCCGGCTGGAAAACCGCTTGTCGGTCTCATGCGGTGTTCTGCAACGCCCTGAAGCGAGCAACGATCACGGCATAGTCATAGACGGCCCCAACCCAAGCACGAAGAGACTTTGCTCCTTTTGAGATCCTTTCCACCCACTCAACCTGCAGCTCGGGATTGTCGATATACCACTTCAGTTGAGCCAATATCGTGGGCGACACTCGTTCTGCATCAAAGCTGAGCAAAGTCTGAAGCAGCGTCTTATCGTTCATCATACGGCGCAGGCCGGGCCAATCGTCGTATGGATGCTCTAGCAACAACGCAACGGCCTCCAGCACGAGGCGGCAGACGGCGGGTGGCTTTATAAAGCTCTTGACTTCAACGACATCTGCTTTGTTCAAGGTGTCTAAGGCTGCACGCGCGAAGGCCAGGGCGGTCTGGAGCTGGCTGCTCAGTCCATCGACACTGTCACCCAGGTCAAGTCGCTCTGCCGCCTGCTCCATAAACGCCTCAGCCGAGCCAACTGAGTACTGCAGCTGCACTCCCTCGCTTCCCCAAGCTCCCGTGGACTGAAGCGTCACAGTGTAACGGTCCATCGGCTCGTTGGAATCGGTAGAGTCTTTTAGGAACAGGGAGATGGCGCCTGCATCCGGAAACTTGGGCCGAAGGCGATCGACAATGTCCTTGTAGGTCCACGTGGGAAGCGCCTCCTCCACGACCAAAGCCTCCCCGGAGAGCACGGAGAAGAGCTCCAAGCGGCGAGAATCGGCTCCGAGCTGGAGCTCTGAGCTCGCGGAAGCCAAGGCCTTCGCCTTGGACTCGGACTTGGAGCTTTCTGAGCTTTCTTCGACGCGAGTGGCTCGGGCGGACATCGCCTTCGCCCGCTCATCCCTGGCTGCCTGTGCCTCCGCCTTCGCCGAGCGGAGGTGCTCCTCCGTCAAAGGGAAAGATGGATCCGGGCAGCCACAGGAGTCTCCCAGGGAGTGGCACCAGCGTAAGAGCAGAACACATGCGGGGGAGAACAGAGCCATCACCTCCGTGGTCAAGGACGTGACCTCCAACTCTGAATATAGAATGTCGCGGATGCGGTGTTGGTCGCTCGGCTCCGGTTCGTAGGCTTGCAAGTCGGCGATAAAGTTCGCATCTCCCTGCAAGAGCTCTCGAATCTGCTGCCAGCTTTCTGCTTTCGTTCCTGGACGTGTGGACTTGAGGATCGCCTCGAATAAACTCTTCACGTACGTCGGCACAGGGCCGCTCAACACCGTCTGGAGGTCTTTCGAGGCGACGAAGTCCAGGTCCGATCTGGCCTTCACCATTGGCACCACATTGGAGGCCATGGCGACAGAACGAGGTCCAGGTCAGGTGCTAATGGTAACAGGGCATTTCTCGCCTGTCTTTGTCTTGGCCAGATGGGTCTGACCGTGTGAGTTTAAGGTTGTCCACACTGCAGGAACCTATGTCGCTCTGGGGCACTATGCTTCCGAAGAGCAGCTCGAGCAAGTCTGGTCTTAGTGACGTGCTCGATCTATCTTCTAGCCTCGCCAGCAAGTATACTAGTCTACCTCATCTGAATGGTCTCTCACATCACTTGTAACAACCACTGTCAAGTGAAAGAAGGGTATCGCAGCCCAGCCCTCGGATTTGAGCCGCCAGCCTTCTTTCAAGTCGTGCTGACGGCAGCGCTTCCAAGCCGCGGCCATATCCCTTTTCCAAGCTACAGTACACAGCCTCACACCCTGCACATCTATTCTGCGCAACAATTGAAGTCTGCACCTCCCCTCCTAACGGCTCTAAGAAGAGATGCTGCTGGAATTTTCATGCTGCTGATACTCTGCTGATCTTGCTTTGCCAGAAAAGGTCCCCTGCGGTTGCATGAAGCTACGGCGGTGGTGCAGGCGACACTCCGTCCCTCTGAAGCCCTGCGCCTCTCTTTGGGCACGCACGAGCTCGTTCTCAAGCACGGAAGTCCTACCTTGCCCAGGCAGGCATGACTCCAACCCATCACGAAGCTAGCTTTGCTACTGAATCACACATGACATGCGAGCACCACCAGCCTTCCACGTCCGGCTCCTGCACAGACTCCCAGCATGTCAGATTTCCGACCTTGCTGGCGGCAAGATGAAGTTCGTTTCGGTGGTTGGACAGACTCGGCGAAGAGCAGACAGAGCAGCGACGATCGCGCAGGCATGGCCAATGATGTGATCCGCCTGCACGGCATTCTGAATCTTGATGAACGACACATTTTACACAGTACTATGCCGCCGATTTTGTGACATGTGCTTAACAGATGCGACAATCTTTGCTGCGCTGGGTGCAATCATGCCACCGCTGGCACGACGACACGCCTTTTCTTCAGCTGACGGGATCAGAAGGTCCGACCATGCATCCTGAAGTCACCTGGCCTCTGTACAAAGCTCCAAACTCCAGGCATTACACTGAGCAAGCGATGATGACTCGATGCATCATCCTTTACAACCTAATTCAGAAATATCCGCGATCGTAACCTCCTGCGAGAATCGCCTGGGACTTCGCACCAGAATGTCTTCCACGTGCGAGGGCCGCTGCTGGAGATTCTTCCCAGAGGTTGCGAGAACCGAAAGAGTGCGCCGGCTGCGCGTGCTGCGCGCGAGCTTCTGCTCGAGCCGGCCTTGCCGGCCTCGGGGCGGCCGGGATGGGCCTCAAACCGGCCGAGCGAGCGCGAGAGGGCGGCGCTTCCCTCGGCGCAGGCCGCGGCTGCCGCGTCGCCCTGTTTTGCCCTTCAGCATCTCTCGCAGGACGGGCACTGGCACCGGCGCGACTTGGCACTGCAGAGGTTCTGGGAACTCTCGTGGCAGATTCCGGCCTGCCTCCGTTGCCCTCACGCCCGTGCCTCTGCCGTGCTGCAGTCGAGGGCGCCGTGGGCGCTGGCCTGCATTTCGCCGCTGCAGCGGCCTGTCGATTCGCGGAGAGCCGTTGGGCGGATGGCGTTTGACTTCGGCTGGAAGTCTGTGACCTTCGTCCAGATCTGCCACGGCTTGCACCCCTCCTCTCGCCGTCTGCAGATGCCAAGTTCGGCATCCTTAGTTGCAGGACGAGGCAACTCAGCGGCTTTGCGCCGCAAGGAAATTCAATTCAGACCAGGCTCTGCCTCAGCAGCTCTGCGGCTTGCTGGCGCTCTGGGCAGTCATCCCCTGTGGGTTCGGGTTTGCTGCAAAACAAAAATGGGAGATGTCAGGTTCCTCTAAGCTGGCAGCCTGGTCCCTGAAGTGCCAGGCCACGGCAGAGGACCCAGTGTGCAAACTCATCGAACAAGACCATGCCTTTCAAGTGAAACGTGCCATCACCAGAGAGGGTGCTGCATCGAGCCGTGTGAGCGGACTGCCACACCTCCACCATCTGCATCGACCTCATTGAAAGCCGCTGCAGCATCGCTGAGGTCACCAGGCAGCCGCTCGTTGAGCTGCGGCAGTGCTGCCCGGAACTCCTGAAACAGCCCTCGACTCTCGGCATCGAAAGGAGGATGGCAGAGAGAAAGCAGGAAAGAGCCACTGGCTCTCCTCTATGCTGACTCGTTGATCGCAGCTCGTGTCCACCTGACGCGGCGGGGTCACAATCCCCTCGCCAGTCCTACACTTGACACATCGAAGCTACCTTTGCCTCGCAGAACCAAGACCATAGCTGCAGGTAGTGATGCAGGTACTGCACGAAGTAATGGAATTCCTTCTCGTCGATGTAGTCGTTGCCTCAGCCAGTTAACATGATGGGGCAGTCGCTCAAAGGGCAGCCAATTGGATCAGAAACAGCCCCAGAAAGCTTGCAGTAAGCACCGCGTTGTGGGGAAGGCTTGCCTTACTCCGATCCCTGTCTGCGCTTGACATTACAGTGCTACAGAGAAGACGAGGGTCTGAAGGTTGCAACAGGCGCCGAGATGGCTTTGGCCGCATGGAAGGCACGAGCCACCACCTTCTCAACAGCATGCCGACCGCAGCGGCATCATAACGAACCGTGGGCGTGCAAGGCCTCTCGTGGCAACGGGCTCGGCAGCAACTTCTTCAGCCCATCATCAACCTCTGCAAGAGACAGGATGGCGTTGCCTCAGTGCGGCGAGGTTGCACAAAGCTGCAGCCGCTATAGAAATCCGCCGAGGCCACAGGCCCAGGCGTCTGGGGGGTTACCTCAAGTACCCTCCACCTAATCCTCCTCCCTGCAGCCCAGATGTTTGGAACCACCCGTTTTTTGCGTACATTTTCTACCCCCCCGCCAGGCTTCCCTTCATTTTACCTGCCTTGTTGGCCTTACCCCTCTCCCGCCTCTACCCCCCCTCCCCCCCGCGTTTCGGGGGAAAAGCTCTTTCGTTGCTGGTGATGGCGGCCCCTCAAGGGTCCGGCAAAGCTCTTCCGTTGCTGGTGGCGCCCTACTGAACACCCACACCTGCGCGATCCTGCGCTCGCACGAACTCTTGATGCGTGCTGCGCGCAAGTGGCTGCATGCCTGAAACGAACGATGCTCTGGCAAACAAGAACCGCACTCGTGCGAGATGACGACTTTCCCTGCTCAGCTGGCCCTGTCCAGTCCAGCCGAGGCGGGCGGCGTAGCGTTAAAATTACCGTAGCCCCTCAATGGACTCAGAGGGCGACCGTTGGGGTCGAAGGAGACGAAGAGCGCCCGGCGCTGCGAGTCAGCTGCCTCCAAGCGCGCGGCGCTGCTCGTCATTCGACGTGTCATTCGCTCTCATGCTCTCTGCTTCCTCAGCTCCCGCCTCGTCCAGTCCGCAGGGCAGCTGAGACGCAAGGCTTTGCGCAGCTTCCGCCGCAGGCATTGCTGACGCAGCCATGGCAACGAAAACGGCGATAAAGAAGTGCAGGACAGGCTACAAGTAGCCACCAGACTCCTAGACATCTATCAACCTATCTCGAGTCTCACATCGCAAGCTTGAACGTGAAGCCCTTGGCGACCACGGGAGCAAAAGCAGTGAAATGTCATCAAAAACTAAATTCAACCGAATCGTGAGATGTTTCGGCGAAGAGGATGCAGTGCACAGTCTTCGTGCCATAACTAGCCCTGAAGAGCTATCCCTGTTGAATCTGTGTTGAACCTTTCAGAGGCCGCAGTGGCAGGGCGTGCGAGTCCAAAGCTTAGCTGTGTCCGGCGGGTGCGCCTTGAGCTCCGCACTGGCTGTGATGGCTGCCAAGAGCATGCGAGCATATCTCGGGGCCTCGGAGAAAGACGCAGAAACGAGGCGATGGCAGCCAGTCCGGCCTTTCGCCTGTACGAACCCTAGAATCTTCCATGGTGGCAAGCGGCAACTGGCAGAGCTGCCAGGCCTTAGCCGGGAAAGGGTGCGAAGCGCAGGCGTCCCTCCATTCCCGACGCAAGAAAAACGCCGAGACCCGCTCGGTAGCCCAGCTTCGTGCACCTCGCGGCACAGCAACGCAACTTCCGTCGTCGTGCACACGCAATCGCGCGGCCTCACCGTCGCAGCGCTTGCTCTGGAACCTGCGATCAGGCTCACTGTGAGCCTCCACGCCGTGCGAGCAGTGCTAGGTGCCCGGCCCTCTGTGTTGCTGCCTTTCGAAGCTCAGGCTGCACGCACTGCACGGCTTCTTCGGCTCTGCATTTGGGCTCCGACCGTCGTCCTCAATGGCTCCAATGGCACGCAAGCGGCGGATCGCTGCCTGGCTCAGGATCTCAAGGACATCCGAAAGACGCTTTGGACAGATCGTGTCCAAGAAGCAGCAACGGCATCACTCGGCGGCGGCGTCGGCCTCGCCGGAAAAGTTCGGTGTGGGCACGAGCTCACTCCAAAAACATGGAAGCTTTCGAGCTCTGGGTGCGAGACCAGGGGAAGACATCCAAGCGAGGCACCCCTAGGAAAGCGAGAAGCAACCTCAGAAGCGTTGTTTCTCGACGTCCGTACGACGAGCCATGCACCTGCTTCGGCATTTGGGACCTTTTTGTTGCACGCATCATTCTTCAACGACGGGATTGAGAGCCCGAAATTTGCTCGTTCTACATGCCTAGTTGGGCCTAGTTCAGTTGGGGAGTGCACTTGGCAGCGCCGTACAAAGCCGGAACTAATGGCTGGCTCCATACAACAGCTCCAGAGCAGCGTAGCAAACGACCATTAGACCTGCCAAAGAAAGAGTGCAAGAAGGAAGTTGATGTTCACGCCATGTTCAATCATCCTTGCCTGCATCTGCCCCTGGACCCACGCTGAGCTTCAGCTTCGGGATTCCTTCTTCATGCAACGTGGTAAAGTGCAGCAAGAAGTACGCACACTTCGTGCAGTCTGAGGTGCCACTGCGGTCTGCCTCCGCTACACCGGAGTACGCCAAAACCTTTCCGTCGTCGTCAGTTGCATCTATGCTTGTCGACAAGCTTCCTTGAAAGCCTAAGCAAGCAGCAGGCTGGCGCACACATCACGCACGAGCAAAAAAACTATTGATTTAGTTTACTGCTACCCGCATCCCATGACTTGTGCAGCGGCGGAAGGGGCGACGACCGTGAGCCGTCAGCGTGAAGCCGGAGTCGAGCTTCTTGAGATTTGCAAGGCGCCCACCATAGACCTGACATGAGCAGTGCGCATTGGGAAGGTGGTAAGCCATCGATTCCGATCCCTAATCGTGTGCAGGCCATACCAGCTTCTACTTCTTCACGGGGAGATTGCACTTTCATACTCCTGGCATGGCATGGCCTTGTCGTTTTCCAAGACGAAACCCGTTGCGACTGTGCGGCACGTACAAAACCTTGCATCGTGGGTCACTCGCCAGGGCAGGGAATGCTTTTTGAGACGAGTCGTAAGCTCTCCCTGTTTGGACAGCTTCAAGGAGCCTCACGTCCTTCGCGGGGCTCGACAAAATCAGCCTGCAAACGCCAATGGAAGGTAAGCCTAATGTAAAGTTAGAATACAGCATGGAATACAGTGGCACAAGCCAGACTGCCTTGTACCATCGCTGCTTCGGCCATCGGGAACTGTTTCCAAGAGGAAGATTGTCTCACCCTTGACGTCCGAGACTTGCAGTGTGGATGCTCGCTTGGCCAAGCCCGAGCCAACTAGCGGAACCAGCAAAGTGCACTCCACCTTCTCTGGCACCACCAGCTGTGGGCAAAGAGAAATCAGTTGGCTCTGCTCCGAGCTCTGCCCGCTCTGCGCTTGCGGACTCAGCTCGGGAGGCCGGGTCCGGGCAGGGCGGGGACCCGCTCGGGCGGCACGAGCCGCCGCCTTCTCGCTGGCGCTCATGCTCGGGGTGCTCGCAGTGCTCGCAGTGCTGCGTGCTAGGCTGTTAACCAAAGAGGCACCATCCGTCTGTCTGGAGAAGGCACAGAAGCTGAGCACTGCCAGGATGATGCCAAACATCACGAGATAGGGCATGGAAGTGGCGATTTCTGGTGCCACACCGATGAGGGCGATCGCAATGTGCCGGGTGAAAAAAGAGCCCTCCTCCAACAGTTCGCTCACTGAGTTCTCTTGCTTTGTCGAGCTGTGGCTCCCAGTCTGCCTGTCATGCCTCGGCTGTGACTCTGCCCAGCCCCGGCGACTGGCTTTTACCAATTTAGGCGAGCCTCATCGAGTCACCCGCCTTCAAGAGCACTTTCGCTTTCGCCGTGTGGTTGACCTGGACGAGGCTGCGACAAGGGGCTTCCAGTGTCCTCGGCAGGTGCAGACCCTGGCTGATGCCCCGCCACGCTTTGATGCTTTAGCCAAGCCTCTGTGCCTCACATGCCTCCTCACCAGCCGCAAGGAACGCAAGTGCCAGCAGAATCGATACGATACCGGGCCTGACATCTTGGCAATCCCATGCTGGGCACACATGCCCAGTCTGCTTTAGCAGTCTGTAGTCCAGGTGGCGGGGTCTGACGCATCTTGGACCAAGAATACGAAATTGGTAAGGTACCTCAGCTCTCGGGAAACTTTAGCGGAAAAGCTTCAGGTCGAACTCGAATGGACGAGTGGCATTCCGTAGCCACTGCCTTCAAGGACCGCCATGGGCTGCTGAGCCGAGAGAAGCGCAGAGAAGAGTAACAGTAACGAATGATAAAATGTGAGCAAGGGCCTGCCTAAAAAAACACACACGGACCCTGCCCTCCGGCCAAGGCCCCCACAGAACTGGGTCCATAGGCGTATGCAACATCGGAATGGGCCTGTGCGCGGCTATGCGGCGTCTACCAAGCCAGTCGGGACTTGCACCGGAGTTTCAATGGCCCGGACGCAAACTTCGTGAAGTAGTTCTCGTACGCAGCTGAAGAATAAAGGCCTTGGGACGAGGCGCTCGAAACTGGTCTACTTCGGCAGTTCGTCTTCACTTCTTTCGGCCGGGGCTGCGAGCGGTAGGTGTGGCCAGGACCCAGCCGGCCAGCCTCGCCGGCTGTAGAAACAGAAGCAAGGCTCGACTATCCCGTCTAGGACTAGAAACCCCAATCCAGGTTTCCATCCAACCTGCATGGGGTACGATGGACGCGAAAACCGTTTATCGATATACCTCCACCTACACGGGAGGCCCTGGCAATGTCCCGAGGAGAACCGAAGCGGGCAAGGCTAGGAGCAGTTTATGCAGGCAGATCATGGCAACGCTTTGGCTGCCTGGAACCAGGTGCGAACGAGCCGGTGAAACTCGACATCAAAACCGTCTGCTCGGTGCCTGCATCCTCAGCTCCTCCTGCAGGTTTTGTGCCATGGAAAGCGGCACCGCTGCAGAGAGACCGCTCAGCAGCTCGCTGTCTACTTCGATTCCCTGCTTCACCAAAGTTCGGAAGGCCACACAGGCCCAGGTGGGTTCCTTCCCTTTCTCGCAGGCCTTCAGCATGCCCGTCCACACAAAGCGGTTTGGCCGCACACCGGCCTCCTGCATGCGAGCAATAACATCCGCAGCTGCATCCACGCTTGCCAACGCGGCATAGACGCGGATCAGGGCATGGTAGCTGTACTCGTCAGCTTTGAGCCCTTGCTCTGAGATCCGTTGCAGGACCGCTTCAGCCGAATTCGCATCTTTGGCCTTGATACATGCCTGGAGGAGCACATTGTAGAGATTGATATCCGGCTCTAAACCCGAAGCCACTGCGTCCTGGGCAAGGGCCATGGCTTCAGCTAATCTGCCCGAATAGCCAAGTCCTTGCAAAATAGGGGTGTAGGTGCGCACATTGGGAGTGAGGCCTGGCTGCTCTTTGATCATCTGAAGCGAGTGAAGCGCAGCATCCACATCCCCACCCTTGGCAAGGGAGGTGATGTATGCGTTCATGGCAACGATGTCAGGCTGCACTTTGCCCGACAGCATTTTGTCGAACACCTCCCTCGCCGCTCTGGAGTCAGCAGCGCGAGCGCAGGCGAGCAGCACGTTGGTGTATGCAGTCACGTCAGGGGAAATGCTTTGAGAACGCATGGTTTCCAGCCAGGCCAGCGCACCCTGTACTTGCCCCTCTTCTGCACATGCCTGGACGATCGGTGTGAAAGACAATGCATCAAGACGGACCTGCGACTGAGCCGCGCTGTGCAGGTGGAGTCGAGCCTTGTCCGTCTGATGGCTTCTGCAATATGCGGAAATCACGGCGTTGTGTGCAACGACATCTGGCTTAAGCCGGGCAGCTTGCATGGACCCCAGCAGTCGCAGGCAGTCTTCGGCCGCATCGCGCTGAGTCGACCGTGCCACAGCGCTGATGAGGGCCGTGTACGAGGTAAGGTCCGGCTCAAAGCCTTCGGCCTGGGCGTTTTCGAACCAGCGTCGTGCGCCGCCGGAATCTCCCAGGCGAGCAAAGGCATCGACGACCGTGTTCACATCCACGATATTCACTTCCCCAAACCTCTGCAGCTTCTCTTGGAAGCATCTGCTGGCTAAGGCCGGGGAGCTCGCCTTGGCGTAGGCATTGATGATCATGCCGAAAACCAGAGGATCACACAAACCGAAGCGCTCCTCCAGCTTCTCGAGCCAGGATTTCGCCAGATCCGGCTTGCCGGCTGAGGCAGCTGCCTCAACCAGCTTCCCATAGGACTTCACGCTAGGGTCGGCACCTGCCTCCGGGTATGTGTTGAACCATTGAACAGCGCCTTCCAAGTCGCCAGCATTGGCAAAAGCTCCCAGCACCGAGTTGCGGATGTACGGTCGCTGCTGGAAGTCCGGCGGCAGTTCTTCAAAAAGCGCCATGGCTGCTTCGGCACGCCCCTCTTTGTAGTGTTCGTAGATCTGGTCGGCAACCTCCTTCGGAGACCTGCGCACCGTGCGCGTTGTGCGGCCGGTGCACCTACTTCGCCATGCGTTCACGATGGCGGGTCCGGCAGCAACACAGAACCTTGATGGCAAAGCGCTGGGTACCCGACGAAATCTTGCGCTTTGGCGACAAGGTGCCAAAGCATGTTCAGATGACCGTGTGGTGGCTGCCCAACCAAGCACGGTGTGCATGCTTCTGCGCTTGCGGCATTCGTTCAGGACATAAATCGAACAGTTCTAAAAGCCGGCTTGCAATGACTAGAAAAGCACACTCCTAGCTGGGCTCTGTGAGGGAAGATCTGCAGGCTCCAGGTTTCTGCGAAGTCTCTTGAGCTGGCACGGCCCGTGGCATGAAGATGAAAGAAGCAAGCCGCCTCGTGGCCTCGTGCTTTTCGTAGGGGTGTGCCAAGTCCCTGGCACGTCCGGCACGCTGATCGGCCGAAGCCTTAGAGATCCTCTGAGTTCTCAAGAAAGAAGCATCTAATCTTCCGTTGGCTTCACTTGACTTCCGCTCCGATTCGATTCCAGGCTGGTCCTGTCGATCACGAATGCCGATACTCCCGATGCGGCTTTGTACCTCACCAGCTCGTGCCAACCGATGGAAAGCACATATGTGGCACGACGACAACGTGCAGCGTGCGCCGCTTTTTGATGCCTCGATGCGGCAGAGACTCAGAGAGAGGCTCACGGCCCCAGCATGTCCGTGTAACGCTGCCGGAGCTCGCGCAAGTCCTGCAGCGCCTGTCTTGCACTTCCCTCCAAAGGCTCGGACTCAGGCCGGTCGGAGGATCGGACGGCATCAAGTTCACTCCTCAGCTCTCCAGACATCCGCCAAGCTTCAGCCAACACCTCGGCCTCGCTGGCACGAGCTTGTTGCACCCGCTGCTGGAAGTGTTGCTCTCGTTCTTCCAAGTGCCGATGCAGCTCCTTCCGTGCGTTCTGTGCCGCCAGCTCGGCGCGCTGCTGCCCTGCGCTGGCCTTGGCCTCCGCTTTCCGTGCCTCCGCCGCCTGGCGCTTCCACTCCCGCGCGGCCTCGCTCTCCGTCTTCGCCGCCAGGGCGGAGTTGGAGTTCGTCAGGCGCGCCGCCCGGTCCGCGGCCTGGGCCTCGGCCTTCCAGGTATCCGCCAAAGTCAGCTGCGCCTGCAACGAAACATCTGCAATAACGTGACGCAAACTTCACGCAAAGATTCCGCCGCGACCGTGCAGGGACCGTGCAGCGCCCTGCCTCGAGGTCGATGCGCCGGCGCCGCTCCGCCCGCAGCTCTTGCTCCAGGATCGTCTCCCGGCCCATCATCTGATCGCGCTCGTGCTGCTCCGTGCGAAGCTGCTCGCCGAGGTCGCGGATCTCGTCGCAGAGCTCCTCCTCCTTGGCCTGCCAAGCAGCCCAATCCTTCCTTCGGGCAGAATGCTGCTGCATCACCACTTCCGACCTCGGGACCGTGTCAGTGTCGGATGGGACTTCTGCAGCCCAAGCCGTGAACTATGCAGTAAGCTTCCGGCAGGCGGAGTGCATATCGCTGCAAGGAGCCTCCTTCGAGGTTCAGCGGGCTTCGCCCTTCCTGGGGCTCCTTCTGGGCTGGCTCACTCGGCTCCATGCGCCGCCCGATCCCTCATAGCCATAGCGCCACAGCACGTGCAGCCCATTGAGGGCGTGGTCACTGCATTTGCATTCAAGATTTTGTTTAACCCAGGCTTAAACCAGGCATCATCTCGGAATCAGCTGGGATGGATCGTGCATGTCATGGATGCCATGCATGTCCCTACGACATCAACGCGGGCTAGAGCAATATCACCAAGGTTTGCATTCACATTCTCGTCTGTACCAACTGGCTCTTACTGGCTCGCACCGCCGCCGCTTCTCCTTCCCAGTGTCCACGACATAGCGCCTGTCTTGGAAAATTGGTCTGTCGAAAAAGAAGATTTCTCTTGCAGGGTTTCTGGGTGATGCACACATTGGGCAAGGTGACCTAAGTTGGAAAGATGGAACAGCCCAGCCAAGTAGACTCACTGCAGCTTCTGACCGATGTTTCAGCCACGTTGGTCGAAATCACGACCTTGCAACATCGGTGTCCCAAGGGCACATGCCCTCAACAGGCTGATGGAAAAATGGCCATAAGACTCCGTGATTCCTGCTACGCTCCTTGCAGATTCGAGATCCTGACCACACGTTCACCCTCCGGTGGCTCCGAGAAAGGCGCCAGCTGCCTCGTTGCGGAAAGCCTGGGGCCGACCCAAAGATGCATCCAAAGAGGGCCACAAAACCCTCACCAGATCACCACGACGACATGGCCCCACGGATTTGGCCGGAGTGGCAACGCACTCCGAGCTTTTTCTGATTGGATTTGGGACGCCCCAGTTCTGTCAGAGCGCTTTCAGATTGACTCTGTGTCTGCGCTATGGCTTGGACACGAATCAACTCACTCACTTTGGAGCATGCGCCAACAGCTGTGTTGAAACTCAGCTCGTTGACAGGTATGCCTCTCCTATCCATCTCGTAAACCAGGTGGCTTGCCACCTCCCACTGCGCAAGCCCTTCTATGGCAGCATTGCAGCTCACAACATCAGGCTCCAAGGCAGCATCAGACATGCTGCGAAAAAGATGCAGTGCTTGATGCCAGCCGCCCAGTTTTTGGCAGCCGGCCATGATCGCACTGAAGCTAAAGGAATTCGGCTGCACGCGAAACTCGCTCATTGATCCAAGAAGCAGCAAAGAAATTTCCCAGCGGCTTGCTTTGGCACACGCACTCATAGCGCTGCTCATTGCAACCACATTCGGAGCCAGATTCATCTCGTGAAGGTGGTTGCAGAGATGTAGCGCCAGCTGCCACTCACCACCCTTCTCGCAGGCATCAATGGCACAGCTCCAACTGAAGATGTCCATTTCCACAGAGAGGCTGGCCATCTCCTCGAGAAACGCCAAAGCAAGACGCCACCGCCCGGCAGAAGCGCATGCGCTGACAAGGGCATTGCAAACCAGAGTGTTCAGGGGCTGCCTCTGTGCCGCCATGGTCGACAGGAGGTCCTAGGATAGGAAGTGCTTTTGGCGAACACTGAAAAGGACTGAAGGCACTTTTTGGAGCCTGCAATGCATCAATCCTGCCTTCAGTCCTGAACATGCAATTTTGAAGGCAAGGAACAACTGCCAGTATCCACTTGCAACCCTGCTCCAAGGCACTGAGTGAGCCGACGCTTGTCACGGAGTCCGGGTAGATTCCGCTCTCCTGCAATCTGCTCACCAAGTCTGAGGCACGGAGCCACTGGCCGCATCGAACGCAGGCATTGATGGCGCTGTTCCAGCTGACGACGTCCTCACAAAGCAAGAATTGAGAACCTGGTAGACTGGTAGACCCCTCAATCAATGCTCGAACATCACAAGACGAGGTGGATGACTAGACCCTACGCTACACAAACATGTCTGCACAAATTGCTAGGGGCTTACGAGGCACAAGGTCCAGCTGGCCGCCCAAGACCTCTGGCTTGCGTCCACTAGTCACTCACTAACCGTCAACAAACCGTCACTAACTCTCACTGACCACATAATACCGAAAGCTTTTGAAAGACTGGCCTTCGTGGACTCCAAGGAGATCTGCCAGCAAGCTTCGTCAGAGCATGTCTTCAAAACAGAGTTGACACTGAAGACATCTGGCCGCGTCTTCCGTTGGACCATCCTTTGGAGCAGGCTGAAACCTGCCTGCCATCGTTCCCCCAGAGAGGCGATGACCGAGTTCCAGGTGATGACGTCTGGACATGCCTCGTTTTCGTGAATGGAGCTCAACATCCCAAGGCTCATCATCCAATAGCTCTGGCTGCTTGCGGCATGGATGGCTGCATTGTAGTGAATGATGTTGGGCCCTAGCTGATGTCTTCGAAGGACCTGAAGCACCCGCCAGGCGCTCTTTCGGAAGCCCTGCTTCGCCAGGCTTCTCAAAGCCCGGGTTATGAGATGCGGCTTCCATCGCCATTCCTCCAAAACCTTGCAACTGCATCGTGTGAACGGTTTGGCTTTGCTGTCTACGGCTTGCACGAAGGTGCTGATATTAGCCCACCATTAGGACGAGTTGCCGGCTGGAGTGCACCCTCAACAGCCTGCAGCGTTGCGTAGGGCCCGCGTCGCAGAACTGCCGCCACCTCCGGCGGCTGTCCGCTGCGTGCCTTGAGGCTGGGGAATGCCGGCGCCTTCCCTGCATCTCCATCCATGCAGCATGCTGTGTCCGGACTACTGCCTGCGATGTGGTCCTGGCTCAAACTTACACATTGGATGGCACGTTGAGGTCCGATGCACTGTGCCTCTACATTACATGACCTCCAGTTTGCTAGATCTAAGCTTGGGCCAATAACGAATTGCTCTAAGCCTTTCGCGGTACATGCGGCCTGTGAACCCCAAGCCATTTCGCCTTTTCTCGGTCGACTTTTCAACAAGTTTACAAGTCTCAAGACCTCCTGGGCTGAGCTCTGCCAACAGCAACTGCACCTGCAAGCTCCTCCCAGCGTATTCACACGCGCGCAGGAGCGAGCTGACCGTCAAAGTGTCTGGCCGCAGTCCAGTCATTTGCGACAACCGAAGCACCTGCGCCCACGAGCACGCATTCTCGCAGGCAGCGATCACCGTGTTCTGCAGTGTGACGTCTGTCTCCTGGGATCCGAGGTGAAGCCGATGCAACATCAATAGCGCCCATGGCCAAATGGAATCTCTAACACCGGCTATCGCCGTGCTGGTCATCGCGACATCAACTTCAACTGAATGGCGCCTAGTGTTTGCCAAGATTGCCCAGGATTTTTGCCATGAGGAATGGCCCATCATGGCAGAGTTCAGCATGATGGCATCCAAGCGCAGAACCAATGAGGCCTCCAGTGTCAATGCGGTGGCAGCTTGCCAAACTCCTGCACAAGCATCCACAGCCATGCTGAAGAGCACAATGTTGGCGCGCAGGCCGTCCGAAGCTGCCTGCCGCAGGAGCAGCAAGGGATGCTCCCACTGCGTAGTGCGAGCACATGCACCAGCAACAGCACTGACCGTAATGATGTCGCGGCGAGCCCCACATGCGGACAACTCGGACAGCAATCGCAAGCCCCGATGCCAGAGCCCGCCCTTCTCGTGGATGGTCATCAGCACATTGTGAGAGATGAGGTCGCTCTGACAAGCTTTTGACATCTCGGCACACAGGGCAACAGCACGATACCACGGCGCCGTGGCCGTGCATGAACTTAAAAGCGAGTTGCAAGAAATGGTGTCGGGCTCTGTTCCAAGAATGACGGCCGCACGAAATATTGCTGATGCTGGCTTCCACTGCCCTGCGTGGTCGCAGCTACTTATCGCAGCATTGGTTGAGACGACGTTTGGTCTGACGGTCTGCTCTCGCATGTTGTTCAAGCTGAAGACGGCTTTCAGCCACCTGCGGCCACTGGCAACGGAACTTATGACGGAACTGCAAGCAACGCAATCCACCCGGAGCTTCTTTGTACATGCCTCCTCCATGATTCGCAATCCCTGCTCCCATCGGGTGCCCCTTTCACATGCAGTCACCACGGTGCTGTGGAGGATTATGTCCGTTCGTAGGCCAAGTCGTTGGCAGTGTCTTGCAACGGCCACCGCGGCCGTCCATCGTGATCTGCAGGAGCTTATCGCAGTCGAGGCTCCCTTTAGGTCGGGCTCACATGCAAGCCTAAGGACTCCGCTGCAAGCTGCCAGTGCCCGTAGCCAGGCAACAGTGGCCACATAGCGCTTTTGGAAACTTCTTTGAGCTTGGCCAGCCAAGTCGCGGGAAGCTGCCTGCTCAGCTCCTGCTGCGTACCCGTGCAGTTCCTGCGCCCTTGGCAATTGAGCCTTGCAGGCCTTGGACCTGTCGCCATGCGAGCTCATGTCGAACCATGGCAACTGTCATCGCACCTGCCATCCCGACGAACAAAGCAAGTGCTCGCAGCTTCACTCTGAAGTTGTTTGGCTCTCGGGACTGGTGGCTGCGGCATGTATGCTAGGACTGCTAGGAGTCCACACAGCAAGTAATGAAAACTATTGATAGCTAACGTAGGCTTCAACAGCCTGTGGTGCAGTGCTTTATCATGCTTCATCTTGCTGCCTGTCGCACTTTCGCATGATGCGGAGCCCACAAGGGCAGCATAATAGGTCCTCCTGCAGAATTCTACCGATTCTACCATCCACCAATCGCAACCACCCGAGGTTGCAAATGTCAAGTTGTCATCAGGATTGAACATCTCAATCAAGTCGCCCTACAAGTAGCCGCCATTAGCCGCCCCAGACCGTTGAAGCCGGTCGAAGAGCACCTTCCGCCTCTCCAGTGCCCCCCTTCACCGCGACGCTCGGCGAGCCGACCAGGCGCAAGAACGAGAGCAGTGAAAGGCGCACACAACAGCTTTCCCGGAAACTGCCGGGACATTGCATCCTGGCTACGATGGGATCTGGAGGATGGAAGCACATGCGCATGTCGCGAAGCCCACTGGGCCACATAAAGTTTGCTGTAGCATCAAATCTGGGGGCATGCGAACCGCGCCGGCTTGGAGTGACTAAGTCTTCACGAACGTCTGGCCTCCACATTGGATACCGTAACCATCTAAAGCTGGCTCATCGCACGTCGACCACGACGACTGCGTGCTTACCATTCAATCGCGGCAGTCTCCCGAGGCCAGCCATCTGCCGAAGTGATTGCCGCTAGCGCTGCCCGCAGAACATCTCGTTCGACGTTCACGAGGAGTGCCTCGCCATGTAGTTGCGCGAAAAATGCTCGACATGCAGCGAGCAGGCCCGTACTCGGCGCGTTCTTCAAGGGAACGTCTGGTCGCACGTGAGGCGTGAGATGGCACCCTTGCCACGAAGCATGCCTGCAATTCCACCTACACACGTTCTGCTGCTGATTCGACGAAAAGCCGGTACGCTTTCAGCAGCTGCGGCAAAGCATCGAGGGACATCTGCAGATCATGTGGAATCGGCAACGTCACCTTGCACTCTCTGCCACCAGAGTTCAGGAATGCCAGGCGGTATCGATGGAGCCAGTTGCGAGGGCTGAAGCTGAGGTCCGCCTGAAAAGTGCTCAGGCTGGTGTACAAGGCGTCCTTGGTAGAACTTAACTTGAGCATGGCTCGGACGGCCGTAACATTACATCTTGCCAAAACCGGAAGAGTACAGATTGTAAGACTTCAGCACGGGAGCGCAAACGGTCGGCAGCCCGACATGTGCAAGATGGCAGCGGATTTGGTGCTGCCGTCCAGTGACGATACGTAGCTTCAAGAGGCTGGTGGCACCTCGAGACGTGAGCTGGAAAAGCTCGTACGAGTAGCCACTTCTTGCAGAAACCTCCGAGGCCGGCGCCTACTTGTGCCGTCGCAGATCCGAGTCGCCAAAGCTGCGTGGCACTGGGCCGACCACGACCCCCACAGCGGCTACGCACATGCCAAGGGCTTCGTTGCACCGATGCCGTGATAGCCCGCCATGAACACGGCGCCAGACCCCGGGAGAGGACGAGGTATTCCCGGACGAGCTGGCCAGCAGACAGCTGCACCTGATGCAACTTCCATGTTTTCGCCTGTCATCAGAGAATCGCATGGCTCGCCTGGAGGTCACAGTAGGCCCGATGAGACTTGGCTAGGAGCAGAAGGCCCTCGGTTGCGCAGAGAAGTGCAACAGACTTCTCCCTCATACAATCGTCTTTTGAAGCAAAGTCTCAGAGTTCGGGACATCCAAGCGATGAAGGAACCCGTAGTTGTAAGAGGGATCCCTCAGAATGCTCTGCCCCCACGTCTCCTGCAGAGAGACTCTCGCGAGCGGGTTTTGCAACTCCAGATGCTCATGCTCGCAACCCACTGATCCGAAGCTCCGGCCTGCGCAAAGACTCTCAACTGCCGCGTCGGCAGGTTTCCATCGTACACCTGCCAGCCAGGTTAAAGCCGCAGCAGCCGTGCTTTTGCACTCCCCCTTGTACTACAAGGCCTCCCAGCCCGGAGGCTTGAAGAGCACCGCCCGGTCTGTCATCTCCATCACTACCTGAAAGCTCCCCTTCGCCGTCAAAATGTACACAGCATGCAACGCTCGGACATGCTCGGACATTCTTGGTTGCCAAGGTGCACACGGACTGTTTGAACGCATGCCTGTGTCTTTCCTGCTGGATAACGAAGTGCCACCAACTTCTTCGACGCAGCCCCCCAAGTGGCTTTCCACAGCCTGCGCAGTCTGCAGAATTACGGACTGAGTCTACGCACTTCTGTCGTGCCTTCTTGTACCGCGCTGTGCCTATTGAAAGCGTATCATAGTCAGGTGTAGGCTCTGCGAAACACCCGCTGGCACTCTTATGTTCTGGGACCCGATGCCTGCAGGAAGCCAGCACGCACACAGCCTGAAAACTTGCAGGCCGCAGTGATGCCCAAGATGTCGGGCGCGGGCATAGGAAGTCCCAGCTGCAGGCGGTGGATCGCCTCCTCTTGGATCTGCAGCAGGAGATCGAGACCTCCGCGAGTCTCTCCGCAGCGTGGTTGAATGCTTGCAAGGGCGCTGCGGATGCTCTGCGGGGGCTGCGGCCTGCGGAGGTCAAGGCCAAGGCGGAGCCGGAGGCGCCCCAGGCCGTCGCAAGCAGCCCCTGGGCTCGGCTCTTCTCAGGCCCAGCACCAAGCGCAGCAAGCGTGCCAACAAGCGTGGCGGCGCTGGCCTCCGAGGACATCCGCGGCAGCTCCCGAATGCTCGAGGCCTTCCGCTCTCACTGCAAGAAGCATAGCATAGCAGGCATAGCATCAAGAGGCAGGAAACGCAGTCACTGGCCATGCAAACTGCAGCCGAGGTGCTATCAGTGCACCAGGGAGTGCTACGGCCCCGGCACCAAGCATGGCACACGACCACCAAAAAGAGGACACCTCCTGGCAGAACATGCGAACACCAGCACAAGGGCCTTGTCACCACACATCGCACATCATCGTATGCCCAGTGCCTGTGGAGTGGTCTGCTCCAGCGCACCAAGCGCGCGCACCAGGCCAGAATGGATCGCAACGGGGTCCTCCACCAACTGCTTGGCCATGGTGCTAATAGCCGGAAACCCCGCGCCAGTTTGCGCCATCTTGCTCTCCCTGGTCACACGGAGCACATCGGCCCATCGCTGGGTCTTCCTCGAGAGACGGCGAGATGCAAGAGCCAAATACTTGCAAAGAAGATGACAGAAAGACTAGACGACTAGACTTGATGAGAGAGCAAAAGGCGAAGCGCTCTTGACCAAGCAACTGCAGGACCTCCAGCTTGTTCTGCCAACTGATAGCATCGGGCTGCACCTGATGCTCAAGCATCACAGCCACAAGATGGAGCCATACACAGTGTTCCAGCAGCGATACCAATTGCACGCGAGACACCGATCCGGCTCCCATCTTGTCAAAAACACACAAAGACAAAGGCCACTCTTCGGCTTTTGAGAAGGACTTCATCAGGATGCTGTGCGTTGCCACATCTCGGGGGACCAGCTGCTGCTGTTGCAACGCCACACGCCAGTGCTCGGCTGGCAGAGCACCCAGAGCAGAAGAAGACTGCCGCCGAGACCAAAGCAAAACTTGAAAGGAAAGAGGCCACATGCCGCCAGAGCTGAACGCGGTGATCAGCATACTCCCCGTGATGATGTCACGACGAATGGATTGCGTGCACATTTCTCGCAACAGCTGACAAGAAGCTCGCCAAGAGCCCGAGACAGCAACCAGCGCTGCATTGAAGGCGATGACGTCTGGAGTGAGAAACTGCAACAAGCTTCGAAGCAGGTCCACGGCAAAGGGCCAGGCCCTCCAAGGACATGCACGAAGGGCAGCGGTGTAGCTAACGAGATCAGGCAACACCTCGGCAGCAGTGCGACAGGGGTGACAATGCCACAAGGCTTTGGACAGTCATGACGGCAGCTCCCGTCCCCACCTCTTTTCTGCTCATGCCGACCAGCACGTCCACCGCTGCTTCCCACTGGCTCTGCTGCGCACAAGCTTTGATGGCACTCGTGCAGCCTGATGTAGCTCCCCGTCACGAAGAAGTCTCATGCTGTCGTACACAGTCTCACTACTTAGTGTTGGTAACTCTCAGCTCCGAGATGCACAGCAGATCTGGAGCAAGGCCCACGTCCCACCTCAAGCAGGTCTCTGCAGAAGTGATATGCCGTCTTGCGCCGCATGTGTGCCCTGTAGCGTGGCATGCAGCAGAGGATAGCAGAGGTGCATCCGCTGCAGGGTGCCCACAGCCAACTCCCAATGGCCGCCTGGAGTTGGCACTGTGATCCGTACATGTGAGCTCGTGTCGTAACCTGTCACCTGCCTGCAGACTGCGCATCGATCATTAGGCCGTAGGACACCACATCGGGTGATGTCCGGGTGGTAGACAGCAGCGAGAAGACACACAATGCCAACTGCCATTGTCCGCTCCTTTCCCATTTTCCAAGCTCGAAACAAAACATCGTGAACCCTATGACAGTCCACTCCGGACAGAAAGCGGTCACGACTCGGTCCTCTGGCAGGCTCTGGCAACGTTGTTGAAAGCAACACTGCCACGTTTGGAGCTCCTGAGGAGTACTGCCAGCGCCCGTTGCCAAGAAGCAGCCACAGCAAAAGCTCCCAGGAGTTCATTCAAGCTGATCTCGTCTGGCCTTGCGTCAAAAAGAGCAAAAACCACCACTGCAAGGGCGGGCCAGAACTCGCAAACTGTCTTGGAGCAGAGACTTGCAAGCAGGAAGCTGGATCGTTGTCCCAGCCATTTTTTGCAGCAGATTTACGGCCATCTGCCAGCTGCCGTTTCGACGGCATGTTTGCAACACTGTGTTGTAGTGAATGGCGTTGACTTCCACCGACTGCTTCCTGGAAGCTGACAGCTTCTTTTTTCCGGGTGTCACTGCGAACCGAAAGAAGCCAAGCAGCAACAGCGCGCACAGCACAGCAGCTTGAAGGTCGCAGGCCACCTGCAGTTGAACTCACTATTGTCACGGTTCACGCATCTGACTCTGGCTGGCATGGGGGGATGCTGCAGCGAACTTTGAGGCTCCGTATGGCTCCGTCCTGGCCCCCTCGCTGCAAGGTCCGCAGAAGAGCAGTGCAGCGTCGCGGTCTGCGCCAGACTGCCAGGCCTTCAGCAGCTGGGATCTCCGACGAGAGCCTCTTTACGATCATTTATGTTCTACATGCCGCAGTGCAGGCGAGCGGCTGTCAGCCACAATGGCCTCCACGCCCTGCAACTGTCCGGATCCCAGCTCCAGGAGGCGTCGAGTTGCGGACGCCGCGCTCGCTGCCTCGCTCGCTGCCGGCCCGGCCGGTGCCACGACCCTCATCAGCTCTCATCTCCCATCCGAGCTCCGACTCTCCACCAGTCCGTGGCCGCCGTGGCCGCCGTGGCCGCACGGCGCAGCACAGGACCACAATTGACCACGACATGGCCCCATCCTCTCGCCGGAGCTCTGGGATCCGAGGCCCACCCTACTTCAACTGCAGATGCCGGCCGGACAACATTTCCAACGACTGTGGGTTTCAGTGTGGGCAGTGATCTTATTGTCGGGAAGCCCTGGGAGCCGGGGAGCAGACGGGAAATGCGGAAGTCCCCTCCCTTGAGTCTCCAAGGGCGGTGCTGTGCGTACAGAGGCAGCACCCGCAGGGGCCTTGGCGTTCGTGGCTGCAAGGAGGTGATGCAGCAAGGGCAACAACATGAGCAACGTGCAACACGCGCAACATTGCCACAACCACGCTGCGTGCAATCAATCCGGGGATCGCGCCCTTCTCCAAATCCAGCACCTTTGAAGACCCCGCCAGCCGTTCTGGATTTGTCGAGCCTGCAAAAGAGAGTCAAGCTCGGTGCCACTTCCCAGCTCGAGGTCGAGCTCTCGCGAGCACGAGCTCGCGAGCGCGCCACGTGAGTCGCGCCTGGTCATCCTCACCTTCCGCTGGTTCCGCAGCTCGCGGTCCTTGGCATCCTCGGCCTGGTCCGGTCTGGGTCCGGGTGCAGTGCTGAGCTGAGCAGACCCGGCCTCGGCCTCCGCCGCCTCCGCCTCAAGAAGCACCGTGTCCTCCTCCCCGAGGGCGAAGGAGAGCTCCGGCATCTGCAGGCAGTGCAGCATAGTGCAACAGCAGAACTGGTTTGTTTAAGGGTCTAAGGCCGCTCAAAGCCTCCTCTTGAGCTGCCTCTGTCTCCTCGCCCTGGCCCTGCCCTCCTTGACCCTCCTGCATCGTACACTCGCAGATGCAAGCAACGAACAAACAGGCCCCTGGCCCCAACAAGCCCTCAGGGCCTCCTTCGAATTCGTGTCTCCGACAGCCTGGCAAGTTGTTTTCCTGTCAAAGCAGATCTCACAGATTCCGCTGCACCTCTTTGATCTTCTTGGCCTTTCTCCGGCGCTTCTTCGCTGTCAGCCCGCCTCAAGGCCCGAACCGCTGAAGATCCGAATATGGGATATAGACACAACGAAACGATTTGCTGCCGCCTAGCCTCCTTTTTCACCGTCTCCTGCACCGTCGTTTGGAAGGGACCTGGAGACACGCCCGTGTGCTAGACCGGCTCCTCCCGAGACATCCTCCGTCTGGGCTGGGCCCCAGGCTCCGGAGCCTCGCGCTTTTTGCCTTTGGCCTTCTTTGGGCCCCTGGAGCACACGGACGCCACACTAAGCCAAGACATTTCAAGGCAAAACCCTACCTGGCCATCTTTCCATCGTTTGCGGCCTGTTTCAGGGATAGAGGAGCCCCATGAGATGTTCCGCTATGCCGCTATGCCCGATGCCTTGTTGCCGCCGCGCTGCCTGAGCGAACGAGCGATGGCGGAGGTGCGTCCCCGGACCGAGCAAAGTGAAAATAACCAGTGTAGAAACAGTTCATTCGGGTTCTTCCTCTGTGAGAGCGCACTATCGACTGGGCCCAACCAAGATGGCCCAAGCAATTACACATGACACCTCACTTCATGCTCCCACAAGGAGCTGAGAATATGTTTGAATCAAGGGGCTTCGAAGCCGGTGGATGTTCCGCCGAGTCTTCCGCTGGCTGCTGCAGGTCTCCGGGCTCAGCATCGCTTTCTGCATTGCCCTCGTCATCGGAGGCCTCCAAGTCGAGGGGTCGCTCCTGAGAAAGCCGGAAGAATCTAAAAGTCGTAAACCAAAAACTCCGGCTCCAAAGCCCCCTATGGCCCATGGCTGGCTTAAGGCAACTGCCTTCTCCTCGACCTCCTCGGCTTCGCCCTCGGCTTCGTCCTGGAGGCAGAGCTTCAGGTCACCCACTATCCAAACAAGCAGCCGGTCAACTGCACTGACCTCAAGAATGTCACCTACTGTGTTTTCGATTATCTCATCTCTTTTGCTTGTGCATCTTTCACCAGTTAAACGCTGCTACCAAGTATCTGCTGCGGCGCTCTTCGGGCAGTCCCTAGATCTGTGAAAAGGCTCGAGCAGTGGACTCGGGGCCACACCCCATGCTTTGAAGCCCTCATCTGCCACTGCTGCAGCATCCTCACATCCACCGTGATGACTGCATTGACTGCATCATGGAGTCCGCTTGTTTTGCGACGGCTGTAGCAAGGATCCTGCAGAGTCGGTGCACCTCCTGCCTGCCAGTTACGAAGACCTGGGCCACCGACCAAGAGCTGCCAACAGAAAAACTCTGCAGCGTTGTCTTTCTAGGCACAGGCGAGGATGCTCCCCGGTGGCAGATCCTTGTGAATCTGAAGCACCTCGGCTCAATGCAAACGGCGCGCACATGCAACTGGTCTCTGCCGTGCGTTCCATGCTTTCCGTGTTCCACTTTCCGGGGGCACTGCCGACCTGTACGCGGCCTGCCCCAGAAACTGCACAGCTCCAGCACAGTGCGGTCTGCTCAAACTTCAAATACCCCAGCTATCCAGCGCATTCCCAGCTTCGGCACTGTTTCACCGGCATCCCCTTGGGGGAGATCTTGGCATGGTATTACCCCTAGACTAGAGGCAGCGAGTCGAGATTCGGGAGGCTCAATGCGCAAGCAATTGCCTCGTGAAAGATGTGTTGGCCAAGCTGCAGAGTTGCTCCTCAGATTCCACAAGCCTTGCCCTAAACCCCAAATCCTGCAGCACGCGCTCAGAGCATCCAGAACTTTTTTACCTTTTTCAGCATGGGCTTGGATTGTGTGCCATCGAACACTCCTCAACAGCAGGGCCTTCTCGTTTGACGAGGGATGCAAACGCGGGAGTGAGAGAAAAACTACCTAAGTCAACTTCGCGGGCCGAAACTGCTTCCCAGTTTCGACCGCTTGTTTTGGACTCTGGGAGCAGGAGGCGCATCTACGACTGAGCGAGACAAATGCGATGCAGGCCGGAGTCTACACCAAGTTACATTCATGCCACATGAACTTCAAATTCCATCAAGTACCCGAGCCATCCAGCGCATTCCCAATTATTGCCTCGTGAAAGATGTGTTGGCCAAGCTGCAGGGTTGCTCCTCCTCAGATTCCACAAGCCTTGCCCTAAACCCCGAATCCTGCAGCACGGGCTCAGAGCAACCAGAGCCTTTTACCTAGATCACAATTGCGATCGCGAAGCTGCCTCTCAGTTTCAACCACTGTATGCCAGCTTGTTTTGGACTCCGGGGAGCAGCAGGCGCATCTACAACTGAGCGAGAAAAATGCGATGCAGGCCTGAGCCTGCACCAAGTTACATCCATGTCAAGGGGGGGCCATTTGTAGTCCTACGCGTGTGAGTGCAAAGCACTCACAGCCCAGCTCTGGCTCCAAAAGCTGCAAATCGTGCTACCGGTTGTCAACGCCCGTCCCGAGACATTGTAAGGCTCGACGCACAAAGAATTCAGTCAAAGCGATCCGAGGCTTGGTCGGATGCTGGCCAAGTATTGGCTCGATCGCAGTTCCGAGCTGGGCTTGGCAGGCAACAGCCTATTGAACTTGAAATTCCATCAAGAACCCGAGCCATCCAGCGCATTCCCAGCTTCGGCACTGTTTCACCGGCATCCCCTTGGGGGAGATCTTGGCATGGTATTACCCCTAGACTAGAGGCAGCGAGTCGAGATTCGGGAGGCTCAATGCGCAAGCAATTGCCTCGTGAAAGACGTGTTGGCCAAGCTGCAGGGTTGCTCCTCAGATTCCACAAGCCTTGCCCTCCAAGCCCGGCTGCAGGACGCAGATGGTCCCACGCGACACAAACAGACAATCCTTGCCCTAGACCCCAAATCCTGCAGCACGGGCTCAGAGCAACCAGAAGCTTTTACTTCAATCAACCTTGCGGTCGCGAAGCTGCCTCTCAGTTTCGACCATTGTATGCCAGCTTGTTTTGGACTCCGGGGAGCAGCTTGTTTCTGGCAAGCGCCCGATTGACTTGCTCTTCTTGAGAGCTGAGTCACGTCTTGAATTACTGTGATGCCTGCCACGCAGACCTTGAGTTTACACTGAGTTTACATGCGAGAGTTGAAAAGATTCCTGCACACGTCGGATTGCCTTCGAGAAGGCTTTCGTTCACATCAGATCTCAAGCGTCCCAATGCTCAAGAGTTCATCACGCTGCTTTGCAGGGCTGTCAGTATCGAAGTAGGCAGTCCCGGCGTCCAAAAGCGCGTCGAAGTCCAATGTGTCGTCCTCGGAAGTCAAAGCCTCCATCACAGACACATCAACTTCTGAACCGTCGCTTTGCATTGGGCTCTTCAACAGGTCCTCGATTGATCTCATGAGCTCATTTGCATCGTCCTTCCGGAGCAGCGCAAACATCTGAACCGCTTTGGCGAAGTCATCAGCAAGGAGTTGCCAGCGCGTCTGCCCCTCTTTGACCAAGTTATGCGTCTCTCGGTTCCAGACATCCCGAAGCGCAGCGTGCGCGACGTTGTCAGGTAGTGCCCGACATGCAACGGCCAAAGCACACAGCACGTTGACGTTGGGTATGTTGCCTCCCTGAAAGTGGGAGAGCCAAAGCTCTATGAAGTCATGGTATGCCTTGCTGACAGCTTCCTTCTGGTAAGCCACAGAGGATCTGAGGAGGAATGTTGAAATCTTCGCCAGCCAGCTGCGCTGTACCCGATGCCGATAACCCTGAATCTGGCTCTTGCGAGTGATGATGGCGGGGCCATCGGCATTCAGGGACCAGAAGAACGCCAGGTAGGAGTCTGGCTCCAAGAACGGAAGCAAGAAAGCCACAGTGCTCTGCTTGAGCTTGTCAAAGACACCGTCGGAATTGATAAATCGTCTGGACACATGAGACAGGTCGGAGATCACGATCTTCTGCTCCTGTTCCGATCTGGCTGGTTGAGCCTCCATCTGTCCGGCGACATTGCGCAGGGCCTGCGCGATAATGTGCAGGGCCGAATAGACCACGGCGGAGACCAGCATTGATAGGAGGGATACTGACCAAACCCAAACAGTGCCCCCCGAAGGGAAGAATATCAGGAGCACGGCAACGATCGTAAACAGCAGAAAGCGTGCGCCCAGGAGCACAAACTCCAGGAAGTCCAGGACCTCCGCTTGTGAGTTGTCATAAGGCTTCACCCAAGATGTGACTGCGAGCTGCATGCCGGAAATCAGGGCGAACAGCAGGAGCTTTGCCTTGTCGTCGTTTGCGATGGACGTCGATGCAATCAGAAGCATAAGGCCTATGTCGAGCCGCTTGACCACCAGTTCCCAATACCAATAGTTCGGCTCCAAGCCTTGAATGAAGTAGCCGTACCGCCGACGGTTGTGAGGCTCCTGTCGATCCTGTAGGGACCAAATTCGGAGGAACAGAAGCAGCGGGGTCCCAAAGCACCATAGCACCAGTCCCACCATGGCTATGGTGGCTGTTGGCAAGTGTTCATCCTGCCAGCACACCACGTCGGGGTGCGAGCGCAGGCGCTGCACCGTGACAGGTGCACCAAAGTCTTCGCGCACGGGCATGCAGCGGATCATCTGTAAGAACTTGGACATCAGCTCTGGCCACAGCGCCAGCTGCGTGAGCCAGATCACCGGCACGCTTTGATTCAGCAGCCCCCAAGGCCCGGGTCGAGCCGTGAAGAGTCCCAGGTCGAGCCTTTCAGTCTCCCCGTGAACCTCTGGACGCTCGTCTGCCTTCAGCCGCAGGCTCTGGCCGGCACGGCACAGGAGCGAGTCTCGCTCCTCGCCTTCTGCCTTCTGCAAGGACTCTTCGAGCTCTAGTGCGGATCTTGCCGTGTTCGCCACCTCTACGAGGTAGTCGGCCTTGGGCAAACTCCTGCGATCGGCTTCGCCTTCCAGCGCACCTCGATGCTTCCATGCCACGGTGCCCAGGACCAAGCGCTGGAGAGTCCGTTCGGAAGCAATGCCATGAGATGCAATTGCCAACAGCTCCTCTTCTGGGATGTCGCCGGCCAGGATGTCGTCGGGCACGGCTGCGTTCCAGGTATCCTTGCCCAAGGTCCCTTGCGCGAGCTCCGTCAGCACACGGCCTGCGGCCTTTCCTGTCACGTCGCCGATCTCGTGCTGCTGGTCGTCTACCCCATCCTTCGCTGGAAGCTCGGCCACGGCTGCCATCAAACAGCTTCTGACGGAACGAAGGAGCCTGGTCCGCTTGGCCTCCCTTCGGTCCACTCCGTTGAAATGGATGCCGAGGACATTTCCCAGGGGCACCACGGCATAGACAACGAAGGAGCAAAGGAGAACTGTGCCGGCAAGGGTGAGCACCGGAAGGAGCAGGTAGTACAAAGAGGGCAGCATGAGCTTCGCTGCTGGATTGTCTGGAGCCAAGTCCTCTGCCTGGCACTCTGCGGCGAAGTTGACCATGGTCCGTGGCATGATGGAGAGCACCGAGAAGAGGGATCCCATAACATCGACAACAGCCTGAGGCCACTCGAACTTTAAGAGCACCGGGCAGTCTCGGTCGCAGCCTGCTTCTGACTCGGCCTGCTTCTGGGACCAAGAAAATGGTTGTAAACGATCCAGGTTGAATGTGAGAAGAATCGAGCAAGAAGCGACCCAAGCCTGTACAATCCGGATCATGCATGTATGGAGCTTCAACGACGTGCCGGCCCCCTTGGCAGCAAGGACAGCAATCATAAAGTTCACCACGGTGATGCGCAAGAGGTCAAAGATGACTGCCCAGCTGAACTGCAGATTGCCCTGCCCGGCTTGGCAAGGCTGGCAGTGCGTCAGCAAGCTGGACCTGGCCCAGCCTACGAGGCACTCTCCGCACATGATGCCAGCCGATCCCTCAGCACACCGGTTGCCGAAACGCCCGCTGCAACCCTCAAGGCCCGGGCTGCGCTGGCATTCTGGAGACCCGCCACTGCAGACGCTGCGTCCATCTGGCTGCACAACCAGGCACTGCACAGCCAAAGTTGGCCCTGACTGGAACCAGCCCTCAAGGGCACGCGGCTGCGAATGGTTCCCATTCTCGCCAACTGAGAAACCACCAGGGCAGACCAGGCCGCTGAAAAGAGCGCAGCCGACGCAGCGATCGAGCTGGCCACTCCTGTCCAACTCCGCCACGTGATCGGGTAGGCAGTAGCAATCGGCCAACTGAGTGGACCCAGGACTGCTGTCGGCGTTCGCAGGACAGGTAAGCCAGCAAACTTCGTTGCCCAAGTTGGGCTTGTACCTTCCGGATGGACATGGTGTACAAAGTGCTCCAAGCTCCGAAGCAGCAGAGCTAGCCTGATATCCGGCCATGCAGAAGCACTCTTCAGCAGTACGTGCGCTTCCAGCAATCGTCGTGGAATTCTCCGGGCAGCGAAATGCGGCGCCGGTTCCATTGCAGAAGAATCCAACTTCGCAGGTCAGGCATTCGCCGTTCTGCTCGTACAGGCCAGCAGCGCAGGTGCACTGCTGCACTGACACAGCGCCAGGTGCCACGGTTGAC